AGTAGGGACCGAACCAAGCCAGGTTACATCTTAGGGAGGAATGGATCAACCGATCTCATTTCAGATCCTTGTCTCATTCCAAACCCCGATCGGCTGGCAAGACCAGCAACCCCAAGGTAAACCTTAATCCCAATCAAGGTCAACTAAAGTCTACGCAGCCGCATTGGACAGCACGAAGGACAATCGCTTTAGTCAATGAAACTAGGCCGATCTTTTCCAAACGCTAGTTCTTTGACTAGTTTGTATTGATAATACCTTACACAGTTTGCTCTCCCTGCAGAACCATCGGTAATCTTACATAATTCCAACAAATCGTATTTTTTAATTCCTAGCCTTATAAATTCGAGTTTTATCAGAAGAGACTATCTATAGAATTGTAAGAGGATTTAGAGTGTCTTAAAAGCGAATCTCAAAGTCGATTCTCACAAAGCCCCACGAGAAGCAAAGGTTTCTTCCCTTTTCTTGTTCTTTTTCATTCAAATCTGGTATAGTCAGATAGCCCTGGGCTGGGCATACTGGACGGTCGGCTTTGCCGCGGAGTGCCGAGAAAGGTTTAGTACATAACTTCTGATCAACCTCGATGACGTATAATTCAACTCTAACATCATCTGCACCAACAGACACAAAAACCTCGAGCGGGATCAAAATCGAGATGATACGGATAATTGCAATCGCGACTGCACTGATCACCGGGTTCTCGGCAGCCTATCTCTATAATATCTACCAAAATCTCTCATCGCGTATCCAGCATAGATCCCATTGTGGAAGCGCATCAGCATTATGTCCAAAGCCGGTGAGAATCGCTACAATTCCACAGACTGTATACTCGGGGAAATATTTTGCCCACTATGATATGTCCTCGAAATCAGTGTCCCGGAGTGTGCTACCACATGGTGAGCGGCTGGATCTACTATTTACCAAATTAGTCCGTCGCAATATGACGACATCCATGCTTCTCCCACAGGCTCTTATGTTTCGCTCTTCGAGCAGTACAGCCGAGGAGCGTAAGAGCTTCGACTCATCACAAATTGCTGCTCTCGATTTTAAAGAAGGGGATCTTGTTTGCGGAATATATCGAGTAAAGAAACGCAGCAAGAACACGGTGGAATTTGAAATGCAGATGAAAAATATGGAATTCCTGGATGGTCGATTAGCTATCAGTTTCTGGGAAAAGGGAAATAAAATCGTGTTTTGCAGTGAAACAATGATGTGGAGACTGTGTCAAGAACCGAGGCCTATGCCACTGGAAAAGCCACTGTTGCGATGGATGCACGAAACATCTACCTGGTGGCTATTGGACTCGGGAGTCAACTGTTTGATGGATCTTGATTCATAAGTAGGAGCTATTTGTTTGATCTGTGTATTTTCGGAACATTCAGCTTTCAAATTGGGCTTTCTGGATGTATCTTAGTACCAAGATGTGAAGGCCACCTTCGCGCACATGTGCAGCTGTGTCGAGATATGAAGAAACCGGATATTCATCATAATTTATTATACGGAAACTACTGTGCCACCAGATCTAGCCACCACCTAAGTAGACAGGAGAGCTCTTCTTATCAGCCGTTCTACGGTCACAGCCGTTAATGAAAGACTATGGTGCCTTATTTCGACTGCCAACACTTGAAAAGCTTAGTGCTGTCATTCCATAAAACCCTCGGACTCGAGAAAATTGACTAAAGAATTTATGTAGGCAATCTCGGGTTAGAAGTCTCATTCATTGTAGTATGACATAACTCATCTCGCTTTGCGGATTGCTCCACTGGCAGGAGGATATGGATCGCTGTTAAACATGATGGTCTCCTGCGCTTATACTCCGCCTCATTCTCTCACACGAATCTTTAAGCTATTGGCTCCTATGATAGTGGGCTTATCGGACTTGTATCAGCTGCCACGAGGGCATCAAAGCAGTTTAATCTTCATCTCGTTTGTTGTCAGGTGAGTAATATTGGTGAATTCAACGTAGGAATACGACCCTTTACTGAAGTCATTCTCATATGTTAATAATTACCTTCCATCTGAGAGTGACTGCGCCTGCGGTAACAGCGACGCCAATCTTCATCAGCAGTAACATAGATCAAATATATGCCAGCCATCGGTCTGCTAAGATGCCATTTATGAATACTGTATTGCACTAGAGATACTTCCATTCGGTGACTATGTAATAGGGATTTTCTTGACGCCAATCATTCAATGCCTGTATGGAAAACTGGGGATCTGGAAATAAAGTCATAGCAGGTAAAATCTGGATCTACTTCCATCTGGATGGATATTGCTGTTTTGCATTGTGTAAAGACCCATTCTTCTAACAAATTCTAGGTCGTCAGCGTTCATGTGGCCTGGCCGGATCACTTGTACAACCGCACGTGGACAAGAACCGTAAGCGCCGCTGCATCATGAATGCACTAGCGGGCGCTAGCGGGCACTAGCGGCGGGCATCTACAGCCACTTGTGCGTTCACCGCCTGGCTTCGTCTCCTCCCATCTATGTACCACTACTTCACTTAATCTCAACCACATCCATGACTGAAAGGACCCATGACGTTATGGCTAGAAGAAAGTCGTTCCATTCCATGGATGCAGGCAAATTTGTTCTGGAAGCAGGGTGTGCGTGGTTGTAAGGGACCGCACGTAAATCGGACATAAGGAAGTCTCCTGGGTAATCAGTGTCGGCCACACTTTGATTTCTCAACATTTGAAAGCGAAGTATTCAAGAACAATCTTAGATGTAACCCTTCTTGGCCCAGTTCCCAATTTCATTTGTCCATTTTGGCTTGCAGAATGAGGTCAGTGGTTTTGAAAAAATTTCTGGGCCACATGATCTACCAAAAGTTGGGTCGTTTATTCGCTCAAAATATTATTTTCAATTATGTACCACAATCCAGTCTAGTAGTGGGTGCCAAGGGATACCCCATTTCTGGCTTTTTGTATTGGTCGCCTCCAACAGAACAACCATGGGGTTGGATCCCCTATACTAATGGTATTGTGCTATCATCCTGATACACGATACTCACGCATTAGTATTAGGCCTATATCCATAATAAATGCTGGGCTATGATACACAGATCTACTAGAAGATACAACCATTTTACACATACTACAGAAAATGGGGATTGCTTATCCACACAAACTTAATTCAAATCACATGATTGGCCCAGAGGAGTATATGTGGAGTGCTGACAAATTTGATACAATGCCTACACCGGGCTAGCTGGATCCAATTCCCCATCTTTTATCACAATTCCATGAGACGTGGTTTCGTTTGTAGCTTTTTCGCCCTGGGCGGAGGCGCATGCCAGCGGCCAGCGCCCCGCACCCCGCTGAACCGTGCCGCATCCCCGTTCGCAGTACTACGGCAGCTTCGAGACCAGGCCTTTTTGCCGACAGAACCGCAGAAGTTAAATCCCCCTAAAGCCGAAGACCCTGAACTGGGATCACTGATCTTCGATATAGTATAAATCCATGCATTTACCGCGCATATTATAGTTGTACGGAGTTTTTACTTAGATCATGGAAGTCAGCCAAAGCAACCCTCAGTTCGATTGGCTCCCATCGTATACCGGCGAGCCTTGGCTACCATATGGCCTGAATGTAAGCATGAATACCTCACCTATTATTAGAAATAGCTTCTGAGTGGTGACTAGGGCCATAAAAATCTGTCTGGACCCCTGATAGATCAGACTCACTTAGCGGCGACATTTTGCAACATCAACCAAAGCTCAAAAATTGTCAATTCAGGCGCTGCCGTGCTGAACAACCATGCAATTGAGTATGTTGGCTCTCTCTGTTTGATTTCAAACCTATTGAAGGGGATATTTTGCTTATTGTTCTGCTTTTACAGGAACACTGCTGTCAAATATCCCAACACAGCGTCATATTATTCTGCAGAGAAGGCGACTCGGGTTTCTAGTAATGATAAGAGCGAGGTGAAGACGGCCTTAAGCTCATCAAAAGCTGCTACTTCGATGGACACCAAATCAACCCGAACCCTGGATAGGAGAAGGTCCCAAAATCGAATTGCGTAAGTATTACAATGTCTAATATGCCAGCGTAGGACACAGCTAATGCTTTATCCAGTCAAAGGACATTTCGTGAGCGAAAAAATAAATATACGGAAACCTTGGAAGTACGGGTAAACGAACTAGAGAGCGAGGTGAGACGCCTTCGACAACAAAACCAGCAGCTTTCACTGCCACTACATGATCAAAGTCCAACTTCAAATTCAGCGATCAGCACGCCATGCCTCATATGTCGTCATATTTCACAATTCTGGAGCGACGGAATGATATGTCCAGACTCGATCACTGCATAATATTGCTGTGATGTTTGAAATATAATCCACAAAAACACTAGGTACAGTTGATACTTACTAGTTTCCTTTTTCCCAGATCAAATGCCATGTGGAAACCCAGCAGCTTCTGAGTGTTTACCGAGGCATTTAATTCAGTATTCTAATCAGAGGGTGGGGCCAGGTCGGAATGACCATTCCAGAATGGCTGGGTTTTATATCGAGCAGTATGGCCTACTCACAAAGTAGCCGCAAATGTTGCTATGTCCTTCACTGCTCGCTCCGCCCCGGCCAACACCATCGTAATGCCCACAGGCCTCTCAATAGGGCACGCAGCGCCCAATTGACAAAGTCATTGTTGGCTCCGCATATAGCCTATAGGCGTCGACTCAGGCCTCCCTATTAGCGTAGAGAGGTCCAGAGGTGAGGTTCAAAGCAGGCGTACACGTCTTTTGTACCTTTTATGAATCGATGTGGGATATAAGGTGGGGAGCCTCCAATGGGGCACCCTGAAGGTTGCACTGCTAGCAGTATTCGAATGTGACTAAGAATACTATTTACTGGGTATTTGAGCGGTGTTTTAGTAGCAAAAACACAATATGATCTTGGTACCAGCCAGTTTTATCCAACGTATATATAGAGCCAAAGCTCGCGATTGAATCCTGATCCTTGGGGATTGACAATGGATATGTCATTAGAGGAGCACCCGGATCAGCTTAAGGAGGGATGATGTTCGGCGCATCACTAAGTTGGATGATCTTTTGAAGATATCCTGCAACGAGGAGACCTGGGAAGGCCGATAAAGCCAATCTCGGGGTACAAGACGACGACGGTTGGGATATTGTCATATAAGACCCTAGAGGACTTATTCTCAGGGGCCCAACGATGCAGTAGGCAAGTATGCGGTCTACAGCAAGGACAACTACCGAGTACATTAGGTTATCTACCTAGTAGAGGAAGGCCAGGGAAACATACCAGGTATAAAATTAGCTTAGCCAGTAACATCACCAAGGACATGAATACCGTCAACAGACGTATTCGAGTACTTATCAACGGCAACGTAGCTGCTAGCGTAGAAATCTTTACCAGAAATATCAAAGTTTAGATCTTCAACTTCAGAAGTACGGCCAATAGTCTACAAAACCTTGTTTACCTCACGCTTAGAGCCATTCAAACCTGTAAGCTTAATCAGACGGCTCTTATCTTTACTCTTATAAGAAAGACAGATCTGCTAGTCAGCACTGACAACTGCTATCTTAGTCAGGAAGTCCTCCATACTATCAAAGAAACTATCGCTAATACTACTATATTATACACTAGGGATTTAAGGGATTTTAGGATGCTTACTGATAATGATGAGAATGGAAGGAGCAGTAATGTAGGTAACATTGCTAGTCTCCTGCTGAACCTTAATTATCTTAGGCTTAACAAAACAGGCGCGGCCGTAAATAAGTTCAATGCCTTCACAGGCCTTGTTGCGTTCGTAAGCACTATTCAGCTATTTTATTATAGCACCCCAGGTTTCCTCGAACTTCTGGAAGTTGGTCTTGATGCTATCGATGATATTATATCCACAGTACTTTCTAATATCCATTTTCTTGTAGATAGGCGGAAATTTCCAGGTCATCTTCTTGGGTACATAACTTCGACACTAGTCAGTAGGCAACTTGACTGTTATTACTTCATTTAAAGAGCAGCACTCTGCGACCGATTTTTTACCCAACCTTAACACAGGTAACACCGGACCACCACTTTCCACAACCAGGTCCTTTACACCGCACCAGCTAGCTGGGCGGCGAGCACTTCCACTATCACCGCTACCGCCACGAAGGACGATGTGATTGTAATGCTGCACATCTCCGTCGGCCGTTGTAACTGTATAGTTGTTCTGTCACATGAAAAAGAAGCGAAGGGTCTGTGGATAAAAAAAGGCCAGCGGGCCGAGAAGAATGCCAAGTTTGGTCCTATAGGGTCAAACGGCGAATATCATCCGACATATGACGACGCCGGACTTTCCAGTTGGTCCGAACGACAACGGAAATAACAACGGAGACACGGCGGAAGATGATTTTAATTTGCCTCAGATCGGGTCCAGAGCGCGATCTATATGAGGGTAACCCGCATCCGTGGTTCCCCGCGGGGGACGACTTTGCGTCGCTGGATCCTTGAACGCCACGTTCGTGCTCGAGTACGGCGAACTCAATACCAATTTAAGGTTTGGCTTGACTCAGCAAATTACACTTGTATAGCATACGGGGATATTCCATAATAAATGACATGTTCATGATAGCGTAATTGTCGACAAAGGATAGCTGTCCGAACAAGACCAGATCGTATTTGCAAATGGTTTTATTCGAGCAACGGTTGAATATGGGACAAGTATTTAAACACCAATCTCTATCAACCTTGCAAATCATCGCAATCACCCTCCCATTCTCGCTTTCAATCATCTCAATCAACGTCTCTGTAATGTCTGACACTGGTCCCCCTCGTGTATGGCTGAATGAACACCTGGTTTCAACTAAGGCGCACTCTAACTAGCGCAGTTCACCCTTTATACATCAGATGCTTCTCAGTGGGCATATGTCCCTCATCTCACTATCGATGAGAAAGGGTATAAGCCTAGCCAATATGACATCAAGCAGGTTGGCTTGGGTATGTCAAGACCTTGGGAATTGTGCGACTCTCTCTTAACGACCTTACAGTCAATGGGGAGAATTTCTCTCCTGAATATGTCCAAATCAATCCTAATGGCACCATTCCATCCTTAACGTCAGCCTCTCTTCCCGAGCCTCTTATCGAAAGTGCAGACATCTTGAAATATCTGGACTTCAATCATCCGAAAGGCCCTTCGTTATTTCCTGTGGATCCTGAACAGCGTTTGAAGGTTGAAGAACTGATTGCGCATGTTCATCAAACAAAACTTTCAACAAACCTTATTCTCCTGCAGGCGCGTGATGCACAGGAATTAAGTGCTAAAAAGGCTAGCTTTTCGAAGGATTTTGTTAATAGCAGACAAGAGAAACTCATCAGGTACGGTACAACAAACCCACAAATTCCTTTGTATACCTCACGCACTCGAGAAAACGGGAAATTATATCATATCTACAACTCCAGTGCAATTGGACCCGACCATGAACAATTCTTTGCCGATTCGCGCAAAGGGTACAAAGACTTTGCAGCGGGACTTAACGAGCTCAACTCTATGCTTGTGCTTCCCTACGCAGCGGGCGACAAAGTCACAGCGGCGGATATGCATATAGTGCCTTGGCTTGCTCATGCACTGTGGGGTGCTGGGGGGAAAGCAATTGATGAATTCCATCCTCTAGAGGAACTCATCAAAAAGTCTGTCCCTGATTTCAAGTTCGGCGAGAAAACCAAGTCGTGGTGGCGTAACATATCGGCTACAGACAGTTTCCACAAAAACTATCCAACACTGCACTAGACGCCATCATGCTTCTTACGTGAAAGGATTTTGGTGCCAACAGAATCAACTCTTATCGCATTCGAGTTTTAGTCACACGGAAACCATTAAGATTGCGGTAGGAAGTGGTTTTCGTTAGTCTAGTCATCTAATTCTTCTCCGAGTGTTTCCAAAATGTCCAACACAGTTTGCAATTTTTCAACTCGTATCGGGAGGCTATTGATTAGAACAGTATATATAGGAACCAAGATCCATCTAAAGCTGTTCTAATCTTACTGGCCTAAGCAGGCCCCTTGGTAGTCAACCACAATCTCAAATCTAAAGGTTAGCATGCCGAAAGAGCAACTCATTTTCCTAGATTCATGAAATAGAGGGAGCTAGCACATTTAATCGCAGTGAATATTAATGGAAAATGGCTTTGCTATATCTCGTTCAAAGGTTCCTATTTTATTCTCAAATAATAGAATATCCACATGCGCGTCCTCTATTCTGCTATTTTGAACTATCAAATTAAGGTCTCTTTGTGCCTCTTCAGTCAAATACTCGCACCAACAGCCTTTGAAATGTATATATCTACTACTTAATCTTTCTTTGTGATACAAACGATGGTTTGCTCACGTTTATATCCAATCAATGTGCGAGTATCATAGGACTTTATCTTTCGATTTTGATTGAGTGACACACGTTGACTCAAGAATTTTCCTGTGAATTCACATTCATTATTGTTGCTGCTAAACAACTTTTGTTCACTTTTGTGGACCTTCTTGTTGACTTGCCGCTGGTAGGGATCAAACATATACATCAAACTGATGTGCTACCTTCTGGAACCTCATCGAATGACCCGGATCAACTTAAACTAGGATTCCGTGGATCTAGACACAAGGAAATAGTGGCTCGCCAGTGTAGTCCCTACCCAGTAATCTCTGGACCACATTATTTGTTCGTTATATCAGTCAACTTTTCGAGGTAAATCTCTGGGTCACATAGTCAGTACACACAATAGAATATAATTATATCAAGCGTACCTGCAATTCTCCATCGTTTGCTAAAAATTGACAGCATTTTCAACAACTCTTCAATCCGTATCTTATCCAATTTGGGATCTTGGAAAAATCCCGTTGCTTGAATAAGCGCAGCCTGGTAGATAGAGTATGGCAGAAGGAAGTTGAGTGAGTTCAAGTCAAACATGGGAGCTATTGAATTGAATCTTTTTGCCATCTTGTTAACAGGTGCGCAGGAGTCGATGGCCGATCCGAAATACTGATCACATTGTTCTCGGTGTCCTGTAGACTCGTCGATTTGATGGTATTGGAAGAGTAAAATGCGAGCACTAGGCCATTTCAGAAGTGAATGTTTTAATCGAAGTGGATTACAAACCTGTTGCACATACCGATGGCACCACAGAAATTCATGCAATATGAATCCGTAGCCTGCTGAGAGAGTAAATCTGAGAGGGTGGTCATTACGCGGTAAAGCTGAATGGCCTCGTTCGTATTGAAAGCTGGATTAGGAGGTGTTCCCTTCACATGAATTATGGTACGCCGTAATAAGTGTGCCGCTTGTACAGTTCGAGCTAGGGGCCCTACTCGCACACTCTCTGGTGTCATCAGCGGAAGAGACGCAGGCATGTGACTCGTCTAGGGTATTGTCATCTCTGAGTATAGATCTCTGTATCATGATGAATACGCACACTCGCATTCCACAATTCATCTTCTACGGGTAAAAGGTCATCCAATGATGGGTCATTAGTGACAAAATTGCAGAAGCCAGTCAGAATTGGAATATAACTATAATATAAATTAGGCATATCCAATATGTAGGAAAGTTTGGAAATATCTTACGAATCCAGTATATAGATAGCCCACCAGACGCGTCTCTCTTCTTCCAAATTAAACCAACTTCTTGCAACGCCGTCGCCGGGCTTAATCTTTTTGTTGCAGCCAATGGCAATCGCGCAGCGTGCGACAGAACTTACTGAAAGAAAGAAAGCTGGCTGGATCAGGTGCCCAATCTCATAGAGGCAAATAAGCAGGCGACCCTGAATGTTTTGCAGCGTAATATTGCCTTGTATCTCCATTGCTGGGATTATGGACTTTGCTATGACATAAAGCGGAGATGTTTCGGGAGATGATCCATCTTTGGAGCATTCGGTGGTTAATAGTTGCATGCATAGAATGAGAAAGGATGAGTCGATAGTTGGTCGCGTCTGATTGAGATTTAGTTGTCCCATGAAACTCGGCATGTGAACGAATTGAATCCAAGAATGGACAGTTCGAAAGAAGTGCCGCGCAGTTTCTAACTGCGCGTTATGATTCCCGACGAAGCGATCGACTTGATTAGCTAGGAAACAAATTAAGGAGTCACGATTGAGAGAAATGTGGTCCAGTATAGAGTGATGGAAATGAAGCATCGGATTAGAAGTATAGAGATGGGCTGATGCTGGAGCTTCAAAATGTGACGAACGCCTTTCCTCTGCACAATGTAGACTATGAGAAGAACCGTTCTGGGTGTCGTAGAAGCAAATTCGGCCTGCTCTACCCCCGATTTACGTCAGTGCTTTTCCGTTTGTCGGACGACCGTCTAGGATAAATACCTGGTGCAATTTGAACATGTTGGTACTTCCTTGTCGCATCGCCTTTTGCGTTCGCGACAAGGTATACAAGCGGATACTCCTGACATTGGGATAGTTGACATGAGCAAAAGTACAACCTAATTTGAGGGAAAGTTTTCGATTATCTGTAATCTCTTCGCTGAGAGTGTTTGGGAAAAAGAGAAGACGCGCGACAAAGAAGACAAGCTGGTATATGCTAACCCCAGGTGACATCATTAACTTTCGGAATAGCTTGCGTGGCGAAGACTCTACCTAAGGTGCTCGAAAGACACTAACAAGCCCTAGAATAATGACGCGCACCGAAATAGTTTGCAGAAGCATTCCAGGAACAACTCTGAGTCAAGAATCGATGTTTAATAGGAATAGTCAGTTAAATATTTGATGGTTTCTTCATTGGAGCTTTCGCTTTTGAATAGCAAAATGCCGAATAGTAAGGCTCGAACAGTTTTGAGGAGGCGAGAAGTTCATATAATATGACATCAAGAATCGATCCCCCTCAGCATCTGCCCCACATCGTTAACGTCCACAGTAAATAATTGGTTGCATGAGTTTCTTCTTTTTGCCTTTTGCAGCTAAAAGCCGGCCTCGAGTGAGCGTGTGATATAGAATCAAAAGATATTTTCAATAGAAGTAACAGCTACTCATCTTCTGGGGGCGATCCAGTGTGAGGTGCCCAGGTACTCACAGAGATCAAGATGCGACGTAGCGTATCAGGCAAAGGAAATAGTAACTTTCGACGAAAGTAATAGCTTGAAGAGAAGAAGAAGGGAGCTTAGATGAACTAGATACATTTAGGCAGTGGATGCCTAAGTGGATGCCGTAGGCGTAAGGCATCCACGAATGGTAGCAACACCAGTTCGTTACAAGAGCCAACAAATTTCCGCCAATTATGCCGCCTGCCTCATATCTAGTTTCGTTTATATCAAAGCAATTTCAGGCTCTTCTTCCTTTATAGTACCGTCTCGAGCAAATCATTCACATGGAAAGAGTAATTCACATGGAAAGAGTAGTCACCGCACGCGTCAATAAATAGCAAGGGACATGCGTGAACAGACAATCGAGAATGATACAAAGGGGAGGGGTCCACTGATGGGGAGATGTTTCAAAATGGCATAAATTACAGCTTTTGGAGTCCACCTACGTACCTACCTAAGGTATATACGAATCTTAACTTCGACCGGAGAATTTGATATCAAATACAAGATACTAAATCTAAAACTTGGCACCCACGCACGGTCTTCGTGGATATGCAAGCAAGTCGAAAGCATAGCCAGGATCTGATGTCATTACACTCGTCTTCGCTTCAAATTGATTGTAAATACTGATTCAAACCGCTGCTACAGTCCACGAAGAAATACTCGTCTACATAGGGATTAAACGCGAGGATCTTAATGAGGGATCAGAACTCGAAATAATTTGTATGAGAATTGGATCGCAGAAACAATCAGACTTAATGCAAGTGTTAAGTAATCACTAAACATTTCAACACCGGAGCAACGTAATGCGACATTCCTACTAGGATCCCCGGCTCTGGAGCTCAATGACGGCGAAAATGTCACACCTTGGGGCCCCTAAGCAGGATCTTTCCATGAGCGTGTCCAGTCTCACCCCTCTTGAATGCCTCTACGACGTCGTGGAAGTCAAACACCGAGTCGATGACAGGCTTCAGCTTGCCTTCGTCAATCAGATCCGCAATCTTCGTTAACTGCCCTGCATCCATATCGACAATAAAGAAGTTTACCCGCGGGTCTTTGCCAATGTCATCTGGCGGTTTACCCACGAGGTGGAGAAGCGTGCCATCTTTGTTGAGAGTCTTCAAAGCCTCCCTCGACGTGTCACCGCATACGGTGTCGAAGACAACGTCGACATTCCTCAAAACAGAGCCTAGCTTAACTTCCTTGTAGTTTAAGACTTGATCCACTCCGAATGACTTGAGCAGCTTGAAGCTTTCTTCAGACGATGCTGTACCAATAACTCGAGCTCCGAGCATCTTGCCAATCTGAACGGCCCAAATCGAAGTCGGACCTGCCGCTCCGGGGACTAGTAAGGTCTGTCCAGCTTTGAGCTTCGCGTGCACCATCAATCCCTGCCATGCCGTGAGAGCAGAAAGTGGCACCGATGCAGCGTCGGTGAGGCTTAAAGCTCGGGGCTTTGGAACCATGTGGGAAAAATGAGCCTTCGCATAGCCAGCCATGCCCCCGTCGATACTTCGTTCAGTAGGAAAAGCTTTGCTCATGAAGGCCATGACTTCGAGGCCGACTTCGAGGCCGCTGTCATGTGGCACCCCGGATCCAACTTGCGCTATAACGCCAGAGTAGTCCTCTCCAAGGATAGGGGTTTTGAATGTACCATCCTCCTTCTGGTAGATCGGCCAGTAGAGCTCCATCCAGATGACGCTGGCCGCGTGTATTTTGACCAGGACTTCATCGTCAGCAATCGCTGGTATATCTTCCAGAGCAATTTTGAGCTTCTCAGTACCACCAGGAGGGTGATGGCGCACAGCCTGCATGGCGCAGAGAGGCGAGAGCTTTCCGTTGGGAGGTTGGAAATCTTTCTTTGAGGTTGCTGGATTGGAGGGCTTGATGGTGTCCCCGCTGGTCTTCAATTTACCTAGGTAGACTCGAAAACCGATTTGGCTAGACGCACCCGAAGGCTTTGTACTTCCCGGGTCTTAAATATGTAACTCCATGGCATAATCTCAATAGGCTACGGAAACGCCGGCTAAATAAAGTGGCATGCCGGAGTATTACATCGTCGAGAAGCCGGATGACCCGCCTCAGCCGCCCTAGTGGGCGAGCCCTGATCTACGGAAAGTACCCAGAACCTATTGGTTGGCGATGGATGTGTAGCTTCTCATTCAGACGTAACATTTACATTCCATTCCAACAAGTCCGGTCACTAACTATTTATAAGCCAATATTACGTGACCTTTATTTATTACGTGATACTAGTAATATTACGCATGTTGATATTACGTGGTGTGTTACGTGATCTAGTACATGATCAATCGTCCTAGAAAACAATCAACTACGAATAGATAGTCAACCCTACATAAGGGGTGAGGGTTCCCAACACAACAAGCTCATTGTCAGATGAAACTGCTAGAATGCGACAACTTGAACGAATGCCGGTTCTCATGAGCCCGATGAAAACCCCTGTAACCATCGCGGCTGGTATCACTCATCAACCTTCTCCTTAACGTGGATTCTTCTCTGGCCTATAAGAGGACAGATTATACATTGTCTGCACCTACACATTCTCTAGGTCGAATTTGCGTTGTGGTTCGGAACGACTGGGAGTCAGACAACGTAACATACCGAATATTTCACCGTTCTCCAAACAGTTCCTTTTTCGTCACTTAGCACCAATTCGGCTGGATATGTCGCATGCTGGCCATTGTATTGAATTGTCGAGTTGGAAGCTGTTATGTGTAAATCTACGACGTCTATCACAGGTTGATATCATCACTATCCTTATTTAGCTTTTTCATCCCCCTAAATTTCCCCTCTTGTTTGCACCCTTCTGCTTTCTGCCTCTTCAATCTTTCCCATTCAACTTTAGCCTCCTATCGCCTCTAAACCCAAGGAAGTCCTGTCTAGGCAGAATGAGCCAAAATATTGCTTGTTCGTCCGCTGACCGTGGTCAAGACCACGAGGCTCGGCATTCTCTCATTTTATCGATAACAGGTCGCCTGGTTCAGAAAGTCTAGCCTTGACCCGTAGCTTTGAGCCAGGCATGTTGAGACGTAAAAGATCGCATGATACCAGTGATGAATTTACTCTATATGTCCTTTATCTCCTTCGCCTCTTTGCCTTACATTCTGTACCGGGGCCTTTTGCAGGCGCCCGCACGGCGTCTTCGCCATGTTATATTTGACGTATTACAGGCGTATCGTAGTGAAGTGGTACCCGCCTGCCATAAACTCTCCCTTTTTGGCTCCCTTCAATCTTTAGGATGGATTGGATTCAGGCGTTTTATTAATTCGCTGGATCACCGAAGTCTTTCACTGGAGCTCGTTGAAAGCCTTAGTAGTCATATTTATCGAACTCATATTTATATTTCGCAGTGAACAGCTGAGGCTTAATTTCAGCGGTATGGGACCTACTTCAATACCTTGAGGCCACTGCACTAGAAGCATGATATTCCTATTTTTGCATTCACTTTTTGCACATTTCATTTTAGACATCACTGCAACTTTCCGAAGTAACTGAGTCTGGGCACGTCATTCCATCCCTCCAGAATTGTAAAATATGACGGCATATGAGACAGGGCGTACTAGTCCTTGTATTCGAAGATTGACTTTGATCACAAGGTGGTGATGATATTGAAAGCTGTTGATTTTCTTCCTTAAGGCGTCTCACCTCGCTCTCTAGTTCGTTGGTTCGTAGTTCTAAGGACTTAGTATATTGGTATTTTCGTTCACGAAATGTCCTTTGTCTAATTTGAGCTTCAGTCATATCCTATTTTCTGGTTTATCACGTATTATGATACTCACGCCATCCGGTTTTGAGATCTTTTCCGATCCAGCTTTGTGGCCGATGTGGAATCCATCCCAGCTTTTGCTGAGCCTATAGGCGTTTGTGGCTTGCTTTGAGTGCTGCAAAAGGCCTGATATAATTTCTCTTTGCGGTCGTATGGTGTTACACTGAGATCCCTAGCAGCGGTGTTCCTGTACAGGCAAAATAATAAGCAAAAGTTCATTACGTAGATAGATTTGGACTATAACGGAAGGAATTAGCATACTCTCCTGCGGTATCGATAAATGTGACAGCGTCTGATCTTAGAGGGTAAGGATTTTGAGTGATGTCGAATAATGTCGGAGCCCACGGAGTCTGATCTGTCGTGAGTTCGGAGACATCTTTACAGCCCTGGAAAGCATTCAGTAACCATAGTTGTCATTGGTAGGGGGGAGCAATCACACTTACGTTCAAACCATGCCGTAGCCAAGGCTCACCAAAATGCGATGAGGGACAGCTGAATGGCGGGTTTCTTTGGCTGATTTCCATAACAGAAGTCGGTGACTCCACATAGACTACTAAAGAAACAACTGCACTACGTGCGGGAAACGTATGGATTTATACCATTTCGAAAGTATAATGACTTCTATTCAGGTTCCAAGCTTTCGTGGATTCCGTGGATTCAGTGGACTTTTGGGAACTGGCGGTCATTGACTCATAAGGCTTCTAAATGAATAGGCTAACGCATCCAATCGGGTCTATGTGTCGCTCCCTAAAAGACGGTGTTTTAAAAATAAAAGAAATGATTACGTTGTCATAATATCAAGTAAATTAACCCATTCCCTTTTCATGCGCGAAGTAAGACTTGGACCGTAGTATTCTTCAACTGTCTTCCTATACAATTTGTATCTACGATTCCAAGCAGCCCAGAGCAATGGCTATATGTAGAAACAGGGTGCTATCTAATCCTTGCCAGATCGAATAGGCTACTCAGTACGAAATGTGACGGAATAATAAGGGTAGCAGCGTAATGTCTTGAAATTTTCAGTATTTTGACAGTAAGGACTCTATCCGTAAAATCGCCAGATCTCAACGCTGCCGTGATACCCGATCCCAAACAACACTGAAAGTTGACGCTAACTCCTGATAACAGCCACAGACAGCGCAATTCCCCAATTTCCTCCAATGCCTGTCAGATGTGTTTTTAGCCATTACCTTGAAGAGCGGTTCGGTGGGGTACTTTGCCGCTGACAAGCGCCTTCCCGCTTGGGCGAGCAACCCACAAAACAAACCACGTACAGCATCACATTAACAGGCGTCGCAAAACGGGCCGTTAGATTCAGCTAGCCCAATACAGGCATTGCAGCCAGATTCGTTCAGTGTCGAATGCGGCATAGAATTCTCTTTTTTGAATCAGGCAGGTGGTCTATTGGAGCTGGTAGTTGGGGTAGCCTTCCGGCCCGTGGTAGCTATCATTTGAGGCGGTCTCCGGCATGCATTTCAAGGCCACCTTGCGGAATGTGTCCGCGAATTTAAACTTCAAGAGAGCCGGCGATATAACAATCGTGCAAATCGTGTGCTGGACTAGGTAAGCAGCCATTGACCTCATTTTGGGCTTTCTCCGGCGAAGGCTGTCCTTGTGTATCTGTGGTAGCCAGATAGCACAGCCTGCCGCGCCCATGGTTTCCCAAATATGGGCCGGAGGCCATGCGGAGATCAGCGGACCGGGCGTGACACTGGTAGACGGGGATGCGCGTGCCAAGAGGAACTTTGGAACATTCCAGGCTTACAAAAGATTATCCGACCGGAATATTAAACTGACAACGCAGATGGCAATGAATATGAGCATTTTCCCAGCAGCAAATCAAGGCCTTTCGAGCCGTGAAGGAGTGAAACCAAAACCAAGGAAGCCTGGGAAAACGTGCTACTCGAAATGATCATCTTAATTCATTGTGCAATACGGGGCCTGGATCGCACTCACAGCTCGGTATGCAACAAAGTGAATTGAGCAGACCGATGAGCCTGCTAAGCGCAGGCCAGCGGGCTCTGCCACACTGTAGTAGTAGTTGTGGGGCCACTGGGATATAATTAAAAACATACCTTGACAGAATGTATTCTATTCGAGGGTGGATCTGTTACCACAATCCTATAAGTTCCAAACCCTGATGTGTTGCAGAAAGGAGGGTCGGTATCTGAGAAGACGCGCCGCGAAAATGGTGGGCTTGCTGGCGTTTTAGCACTCCATAAGTATTTGCTGAAGTCGCAGTTAAGTTGGGCTATCTCACCTAATTGAGTACTAAAATATAAGGTCCGTAAAATGAACATAATGTGGTGCTCCGAATGTGTTGGTAGACAAGAGTTCCGAGAATGTGCAAAAATTGAGCTGTAAGAGCATGCCTGTCGCCGAAACCCTTAGATGAACAATTCAGCAACCAACATTTTCAGCTTACAACCTCGCGCCTACGATTTGAACATTGGTCCTCATGATATATTTTCAGATTCTACAATCGCTTTTGCGATGGTCGACTTCGTTACCAACTTTACTGACAGCTTGATGATGAAATGTTTCTCTTATGATTAATCGGCATAAAATGGTTCGGCGGTGCAGAGGCTTAGGTAAGAAACACGGAATGTAGATCATGATACTCATGGCAGGCTTACTGAGAGAATCAGGCACTCAGATCGGTCAGGGCCGTGCTCGATTCTCCTTCAGTGGGTAAAAGGCCCGGGGCAGGAGAAGTGGGAATTAAGCACTAGAACGGAAGGAAGCGTCAAAAGTTGCTACGAGAACTTTTCTCACCCCACACACTGGCTCCCAGAAACCGAAGCTACACAGTCAGTGCTGGATTGGTTGGAAAATTTTATCTATGAGAATCATAGTCACGCGTGAGCGTAGTATGTCAACATAGACTCAGTCATAATCGTCCTTCATTTGTCATATCGGGACTGTTACAAATCCGGCCTCCGAACGCCTTTTTCAACCCTCACAAATAGAGTTTGGGGAAAGCAATCAGTCCGGGGGAGCCGAGACAGCTTCTCAGGAATACTTATATATGGCCTTTGATCTTCGAGACCTGGGTTTCGTGTTCTCTTGTCCATTTTCTCTGACATTTTATCGTCCCTGGAAGAATACTAGGAAAATCTCCGATACTCGATCGACGACGTTTATAAACCCATATATAGAAAACTTACCAACCAAGATGACATCACGCGGTGTTGAGGAGCCTCAACATGAAGTATATGCTTTGCCCCGTGGAAAGGAAGAAACGCAGAGGTACGCGTCTTCAATTTCCGTTAACGCAAATATACCTGAAAAAGATAAGCCAACGGGGTGTGTTTCACACAGACTGGATCAACAACATCGGGTTTTTACCCGTCTAGCCGACGGCTTGATACACCCTTCTATTCCAAAACAACAAATAAGGAAGATTGCAGACGTGGCAACAGGAACTGGGTAGGGAAAGGAATTCTATTTCTATTTCCATATTTGGTCCATTAGTCAACAGCTGACAATCATCATATCTCATATAGCATCTGGCTAGTGGATGTAGCCACAGAATTTAGTTACGAAGGCCATTACGTCGGATTCGATTTATCAGATTCACAATTTCCAACTCCTTCGTCCCTGCCACAGGGCTGCTCTCTTGAGTTCAAAGTCCACGACATGACCAAACGCTTTCCACCAGAATACCATGCGCAATTTGACTTGGTCAATATTCGACTGGTGGTACAAGCACTCAAAGCTGTGAATGTGGATAATTTTATATCTAACGTCCTGGAGCTATTAAGTGCGTCAATTCCCCTAGCAGCCACCAGTTTATTTCGCTGAAACTGAAAGGAAAAGAGCCAGGTGGGTATATTCAGTGGGGCGATGTGAATTGGAATGAAGTGAAATCCGTCCCTTCGAACACCGAACTTGATATGCTGGATGAAATTATAACTGGTCATATGAAGTACCATGGCCTTTCATCGACGTAAGCGGCTCTCCTGTTTTGTCGCTTCGAAATTTTGGGATTTAGTCCTATGATCCGGGTCAGACACATATGGATCTCGACTGACATATATTTCCTTTGGCAGCCTCCCAGATCTTGTGGAGACAGCGTTGAGAGGTAAAGGAGCAAGAGATATAATACGATCGGATAGCTATTCTGACAGCCATCAATCAATCTCTGTGGAGGAGGGAACATATGTTCTCAAGGAAGCCGAGATGGGCATGCTGCCAAAGGCATTGGAAACGGTAAGGGAATTTATGCCACAAAACTTCACTTTGCAAGAAAGTGTCATACGGCAGAAGGCTGAAGAGGCACTCTCCAATCGAGGTCAAATTTGGAGATTTTCATACTCAGTAGTTGTCGGTAGGAAGGGCATCTAGTTTATTTTTGGTTTCTAAAGCTTCGCCGCTGTTGTGTATGAACTGCTTTTACCCACTATAAAACCCATTAGACCTAATGTACCTCTACTCACGGCGTGTAGCCAGCATTGGTGCTTATCGGGAGACTTAATTAGTGTCGACAGAGGAAAGATGATAAAGGCATGTATAACAGTGAGGCAGTGAATTGTTGAGACAGTGATGCCTCAGGCTGTTCCTAGGTCGCCTATAACTAACTATTAGCCTCCCTCCATTGTTCTATCAATCTACACCTGACATCACCTCTTTCTTCCATTCTCATCATGACTAACTTCTATTGGCATGTTCATTGTAGTGAAGCAGCTGGTAAAGTAAGATGTATGTCGGTGAATCGTGTATGCCATGGCCTTGCGTGGCAAAGTAAAGAGTGGAGCTTCTCCTACTTGGGGAAATGCATCCTACTTGGGGAAATGCACCTTAGTCAACCTTTTCTTCCTTCAGATTTGGTTTCTCCACTTAGAACCAAATCAATCACGCTATGCCTGTAGAGCTCTTCAATTTGAGTCATTCCCAAATTTCGAAGTGCTACCCCATTATTGATTCGGTGCATCCACCACATGGACCCAAACATAATGACGTCGTTGACTTAACCACACTAGGCTGGCTATTCGAAAAGCTTTTCGAATTTCATCTTGCGTTCTATTACACAAAGGGCCCAAAAATGCAGCATTTGACGGCATAACTTGTGGGGAAAAATTGAACCAAGATCGTCTAGCCCCCACTACTCAACCCTCAGCACCTCCACCAGGAAATTCCCAACCAAGACTGAACTGATGCTTTGTCTTTCAAACACCTCGGAATATTACCGCAATGGACACAAAAGTCTTCATTGATTCATCCTTTACGGTTCCAGGGAAAGGGAAGTATGCTTTTGTGGGCTATCAACCCCCTACCAAATCTCCCGGAACTGAACTTTCGTGGGCTCGTTCTCTCATACGATCAAAAGCGGCACAGCATCATCCCCATAGAAAGAGTAGAGGGGTGACAAAAATGGTGTCTGACTCCAATTGTACTGAAGGTAGAAAAAGAAAAAGCAACAGAGATGATTCAACAATTACAAGAGTTGACAAGCCACCGAAATCAAAAAGCCGACATGCTCAAGATATTCACATCAACCAACTGACGGCTCACAAAACGCAGCCAAGCCCACCACCCTCATTTGAAACTCTCGGAATAACGAGGGAAAGTTGGCCAAAGCTGAACATGTGGCCGATAACTGTCGAAAAATTCGGCTCGAGGGCACCGGATCCCTTCGACTGCCATCCGTTGCAAGACCTGCCATCAGGGTCATTTGCACAGTACTTCGAATACAGTACGTATAAACAGGTCGGCAGGGCGATAGTATGTCTGTGAATGTTAATGACCGCAGGTGTGTCGGTACTGTGGCCCACCTTATTTCCCCATCGCTCCAAGCAAATGAACAATGCGGCGATAAGTGCTTGGTCCCATCTATATATGGTGGACGAGAAGGTGTGCCTGGTGTTTTCTTTCTCCGCCTTGTGTCATATGAGAAGCAATCCACTTCCTATCGAAAAGCAATATCTACGTGGTGGGAGGCAAATCATACATTTTCTTGAAATGAAGTCCGCCAGGATGATTCGAGAGTCATTACAAAAACCAAGTCCGCATATTACGGATGCTCTTATCATGTGCGCCCTTTGCATGGCCAACCACAGTTCTACAGATATTGGCTTTGTCAGCCAAAGAGAGTCACCATTTCAATCTTCATTTCGTCGATTGCAGTGGCTGGAAGTCTATGGAGCAAAGGCCATTAAGAACGATTATCATCTGGGTCTTTTGCAACTGGTCCAACTCAAGGGAGGACTCAAGGAGATAAGAATGCCCGGTCTTGCGGCAATAATCTCACTGTAAGCTTAAACGCAAAATTCATGGGTCAGGGCTCTTATCTCATCTCAAAGTTGTACAGCTCCGATATAATTGCCTGCTCTAGGACATTGTCGTTGCCACGATATCCCTTTCATGCCCAGCAGGGCAACATGGAAATAAGCATGAGTGACAAGTTTTCCTTGCATGATATGCCTATGGACCTCGAAATTGACGCGGGACGAGACTATCCCTTGACAAAGAGACTGCATGAGATATTTCAATTCATGAAGTCTTATTCCACTTCTCTTCAGGAGCTTGAGGATAGAACGCTTGGCTCTTCGGACCAAAGGGCATTACAAGAAATTGTCGATAAGCGCAACTTCATCCAACATTCCTTATTGTGCTTGCCATCGGTAAACGAAGTTCCCGGAGTAGTACCTCTGGATTTGATCCACTCATATGAAATTTATCGGATTGCTGCCCTGATATATTCAACGGGAGTAATATTTCCATTGCCATATGACACTTCTCCTCTGCCTAAGTTGGTTGAATATCTCAAGTGCGCATTTGAGAAGCTTTCGCCCTTGTCCTGGAAATCAAGTCACCGGCATGGGGATCTCATCTGGGCGCTCACGATTGGCGGCATAGCGGCACTCCATAGCCAAACCAGGTCTTGGTTTTCAACCCGATTGCATGAGATGTCCAAGCTGAACAAACTGCAAAGCTGGGATCAGTTGCGGCAAGTGTTGGAACGATTCGTGTGGCTGCATAGTGCCTGTGACATCCCAGGTCAGCAGCTATGGAACGAGTCCATATATGCTCCAGAATGGTTCTTATGATACTGAACATTCTGCCCTTTAGCCCTATTATATTTCGAAATTGTCCTAGGTATTTCAGAAGCCCCGTGGCGTTCTCTTGTACCTACTACCTACTAATATGTGATCCCCTCACTGGAATTACTACTCATCGCCTGATTGACCGGAGCCGTTTGCCTCATCCGCGCGCGGGCTACCATGATGTATCTACTACGGTTCGTGACCGCTCCCTGGTCACACTTGATATAGCATTATAATTGCTTCTTTTTATGGTCCGGTACCAGACCTTGCGGGGGAAATCCGGTATCTAGATAATAAACTTCAACAAGAGTATAAACCTCAACATCATGTTAAAATATTTTCAAAAGTAGCCTTCATGAACTAGCATAAATCCTATCGAGTCTATATCGAGGTATCAAACATAGCCTGAGTCATATCCAAATGCTCCATCCCATATATGCATCTAATCATAAAATCATGCCAAACCAAAACCATGCACGGTGAAAAAGAAAGAGAAGAAAAAAACAACAATTCCCAGCAGAGAAAGAATGGCTCATTTCTTCTTGCGAGAAGAGGTAGAGACCAGTTTCTTCTTCATGTGCTTGGGCATTTTCTTCGTTCGTGCTTCGCGCTTCTCTTCCTTAACCTTTTGCTTATGTTCACGCTTAACATCCTTATCCTCGTGCTTCTTGCCACGGGGCTGCTTAGGTGCGAACGGATCCTTTTCCTCGTCATCACTTTCATCATCAGAGCCGGAGACAGAAACACCGCCGCTAACATCGGACTCTGAGTCGGCAGCCTCGTCTTCGGCGGGGGCAGATTTGCTCTTGCTCTTGCCGGCAGCGAGCAGGTCTCCGTAAACAAGATCTCCACCCATACCATCGCGCACCTTCTCTGCATCACGCTCAACATCGTAAACCTGCTCCAGGTTCTGCGGGATATACTGCTGACGGAAGACGGCGGTGTCGACATCCTCTGATTCGTGCTGCTCGTCATCACCTTCTTCACGTGCAGAGAGCAATTTCTCAATCGTCTCGGTCATCTCGTTATTCTCGGAAGTGAAGTCGCTAGGACCTTCGGGGGAAACGATAAATTGGAAAAGAGCACGCTCGGGAAGAGTGTCTACGCCCTTGCGCTTGAAGAAATCGCTCACGTTCTTGATATCCATGCGGAGGAATTCCAGACTGCGCGGGTGATCGTGCTCAACACTCTGACTGACATCAATGATGTACAGGCGCTTCTTGTGGTAGAGCATATTGTACTCGCTCAGATCGGCGTGAACAAGACGGCAGGTCTGGTACATGACGCGCATGTAGCCGAGCAATTCGATATATAGGGAGCGATAGCGTTCCTCAGCCTCCTCGCGACTGAACTCTACATCCTTGAGACGGGGCGCGGGGACACCTTTAGAGCTACCAATGAAACCCATGGCGAGGACGTGGAGGCGGAGGTAAAGAGGCTCCGGGCAGGGGATGCCGGTGGCGTAGATTCGGCGCAAATTACGCATTTCCTTCTCGGCCCACAGTTTGACCATGGCGCGGTTGTTGCTCTTACTGTATCCTTGGCGAAAACGAAATTCACCAGTCACGTACTTATCGCGGTCCTTGAAGACCAGAATGCTGGTCTTGTAGACCTTGACGGCGCGGTGGATTGGGGCGGCGTCCTCGTCTTCTGAGACGGACATGGCGTGATAGACATTGGCTTCCTTTCCGGTTGACAGACAGCCGTGAATCTCGGAGACAATCCCTCGGTTGATCATCTGCAGCAACAGCATGCGGGTGCGGGGGTCCAGGACTTGTTCCGATGTAGCGCGGTCCGCGCGATCTCCTCCACGGTCACCCTTGCCTTGAAGGCCGGATTGTTGAGTATCGAGCTTGATCTTGGCGGCATGGCGAGTCAGCGACTTGACTTGATCATCGACGGAGGCATGTGTGTTGATGGAGGGCTTTTGGGTGTTGGTCTTTGGGTATGTCCATTTAGGAATGTTGGAATCGGCAGCGAGGTCGTTGATCTTGCGTTGACGGTTATAGGCTTTGGTCAGGTCGGATGGGTCTGCAGAATTGAAGTCCTCGGTGTCCAACTCCTCCTCGAAGATATCGTCATAATATTCCTCATCTTCGTCCTCTCCCTCCTGCCCCTCCTCGGGCACTTGGGTGGATTCCTGCCCCGCGGCAGCAGTTGTGCCATCGGGATTGACATAACCCTGGTTAGGAAAGTAGGTGTGGGACGGTGCCAGGCCATCGGCCAGACCAGGTGCCTGGATAGGCGTCTCGGACTCACTCATCTTTGCGCGAAAGAACGAATGTGAGGGGCAAAGAGCGAAAAGTCGACAGTGACGGGGAACCTTGGTGGAGGCCCGACTTTGATAGTTTCAACTTTTTTTTTTCTTGTGCCCGTCACCGCCCGGCAGAACCACCCCGCCCAGACAGGCAACACGCGCGCCTCTGCGCGTCCCTCTCCTCAGTCCATCGCGAATTCCACTTCCGAAAGCTCAAGCTGGCCTTTCTCTCACGGTGCGCGGACCCTGACGAAAAGGACGGTCCTCTATATTACTTCTCTCTTTCAAAACCTTGGCCTAGGCCGGGTAATGTGTGAGTGCCAGTGATCATCGCGTCGCGCGTCTTCCCAAGATGTATGTGAAGCAGATCATCATCCAGGGCTTTAAAAGGTATGCGCCGAAAGATTTGTCAATACAAAGCTTCCCAACAGGCCAACTGACTCCATTGTCATCGCAGCTACAAGGATCAAACCGTTATCGAGCCCTTCTCTCCTAAGCACAATGTCATCGTCGGCCGCAATGGTTCCGGCAAGAGTAACTTCTTCGCCGCCATTCGATTCGTTCTCAGTGATGCCTACACCCATCTTGGCCGGGAGGAGCGCCAAGCTCTTCTTCATGTACATCCTGACCCAGAAACCCCCATTATGTCTTTGCTAATCTTGCGCAGGAAGGATCTGGCTCAGCCGTGATGTCGGCCTATGTCGAGATCATCTTTGACAACTCCGATGATCGATTTCCCACCGGCAAGCCCGAAGTCGTCCTCCGCCGCACGATCGGTATCAAGAAGGATGAATACACCCTCGACCGGAAAAATGCGACAAAGAACGACGTCATGAACCTCCTAGAGTCCGCCGGTTTCTCTCGATCTAACCCATACTATATCGTTCCCCAGGGTCGTGTCACGGCGTTGACAAACATGAAAGACTCAGAGCGTCTGGTGCTTCTGAAAGAGGTCGCGGGTACCCAGGTTTACGAGGCACGCCGCTCCGAATCTCTCAAGATCATGCACGACACCAACAGCAAGCGGACCAAGATCGACGAACTCTTAGACTTTATCAATGAGCGTTTGGCCGAGCTGGAAGAGGAGAAGGATGAACTTCGCAATTACCAAGACAAAGACAAAGAACGCCGGTGCTTGGAATACACGATCTATTCTCGCGAGCAACACGAAATTTCCAACGTGCTAGACAGTCTAGAGGAACAAAGGCAGAATGGCGTTGAGGATGCTGACAATAACCGTGATCAATTCATTGATGGTGAGAAAGCAATGGCTCAGATTGATGCTGAAATCGCCGAATGTCGCCAGCAGATTGAGTTCCTGAAGGTGGACAAGGCTCAACTGGAAGATGAGCGTCGCGAAGCCTCCAAGTCTCTAGCGCAGATTGAACTTCAGGCCAAGTCTCTCTCTGACAACCAAGCCGCAGCCCAGGCTTTGAAGTCTCGTCATGACTCCGATCTCAACTCTGTCCAAACTGCTATTAGCCAGCGGGAGGCTGAACTGCAGGAGATCCTTCCGCGGTTTAACGCTTCAAAGGACCAGGAGGACGGTGTGAAGGCTCAGCTGACCGAAGCCGACACATCCCGCCAACGGCTGTATGCTAAGCAAGGTCGCAACTCCCGATTCAAAAACAAGTCTGAGCGGGACAAGTGGTTGAATATGGAAATTCGAGAGAGCAAGCGTTCTGTTTCGACGGTGGAAGGCGTTGTTTCTCAAACACAAGACGACATCAACGAATTAGAGGGTGAGATTGCCCAGCTAGAGCCTAAGACCGAGGAACTGCGCAAGCAGATTGATGGACGTGGGGATACACTGCATTCCTTTGACCAGCAAGTCCAAAATGCAAAGGACGAGAGGGATCGCTTAATGGATCAGCGAAAGTGAGTAATTGTCACCATTACCCAGATATGCTGCGTACTAATGGTATATACAGGGAACTCTGGCGCGAGGAGGCAAAGCTGGACTCCGTCCTTTCTAGTGCCTCATCTGAAATGGAACGCGCTGAGCGCACTCTTTCCCACATGATGGACCACAACACTAGCCGTGGACTGGCCGCGGTGCGAAGAATCAAACGTCAACATAACCTTGAGGGTGTCTACGGTACCCTCTCTGAACTTTTCGATGTGAACGATAGATATCGTACTGCCGTGGAGGTTACTGCTGGCCAGAGCTTGTTCCACTACGTTGTTGATACTGATGAAACTGCGACAAAGGTTTTGGAAATTTTGCAAAAGGAGAAGGCAGGTCGAGTTACTTTTATGCCCCTTAACCGCCTGCGCTCCAAGCCCATGAATATGCCCCGCGCCAGTGATGTGATTCCCATGATTGAGAAGATGCAATTCGACCCTGCCTATGAACGTGCGTTCCAACATGTCTTTGGAAAGACCATCATCTGTCCCAACCTACAGGTCGCCTCTCAGTACGCTCGCAGCCACGGTGTTAATGCTATTACCCCTGAGGGTGACCGATCCGACAAGCGCGGTGCCCTGACCGGTGGTTTCCATGATTCACGCCACTCACGACTTGATGCCGTCAAGAGTGTTGGTAAGTGGAGAGATGAATACGAGACTAAGCGAAATCGTGGAACGGAAATCCGCAAGGAGCTGGAGAAGTTGGATCAGTTGATCACCAAGGCTGTTGGTGAATTGCAGAAACTAGAGCAGCAGAAGCACCAGGCGCAGAATAGCAGCGGCCCGCTACGACAAGAATTACGAAGCAAGCGTGAGCTCCTACAAAACAAGACCGATAGCCTTGACGCGAAACGCCGGGCTCTCCGCAATGTTGAATCAAACCTCGCGGCTTTGAAGGACCAGACTAGCGCTTTCGAGGCCGAGTTGGATTCGCCTTTCCAGAAGGCCCTCACGAACGAGGAAGAGACTCTTCTGGAAACCCTGAGTGGAACCGTGCAAGATCTTCGCCGACAATATCAAGAACTCTCCTCTGCTCGCAGTGAACTCGAAGCGCGGAAATCTGTGCTGGAGGTTGAATTGCGGGAGAACCTGATCCCTCGCTTGGATCAGCTTATGAACCGCGACATAGATATGGCCGAGGAGGATGTCCAAGGCAACTTGAAAGAAACGCAGCGGGAGCAGAAGCGTCTTAGCCAGGCGTTGGAAAAACTCAACAAACGCCTTCAGCAGGTCGATACTTCGATCGAGGAGCAGAACAGTCGTGTCAACGACCTCGAGCAGCACAATGCTGAGACTCGCCGCAGCCTTGAGGATCTCGCTCGTTCTATCGAGAAGCACCAGCGTCGGATGGAGAAGAGTATGCAGAAGAAGGCTGCCTTGACCAAGCAAGCTGCGGAGTGTGCTGCCAACATTCGCGATCTGGGAGTCCTACCCGACGAGGCGTTCACCAAGTACAAGAACACGGATTCCAACGCCGTCGTGAAGAAACTGCACAAAACGAACGAAGCCCTGAAGAAATATTCCCATGTCAACAAGAAGGCATTCGAGCAATACAACAACTTCACCAAGCAGCGCGAGACCCTTACGACCCGTCGAGCCGAACTGGACGCCTCGCAGAAATCCATCGATGATCTGATTTCGGTTCTGGATCAACGAAAGGACGAAGCAATTGAGCGTACTTTCAAGCAAGTGTCTCGCGAATTCGCGAATGTTTTCGAGAAGCTAGTCCCTGCCGGCCGCGGCCGTCTCATCATCCAGCGCAAGACTGACCGATCCACTCGAGCCGAAGACGATGTCGATTCAGAGGACGAGGAGGCTCAGCAGAGTGTCGAGAATTACGTCGGTGTCGGCATTAGCGTCAGCTTCAATAGCAAGCACGACGACCAACAGCGAATCCAGCAGTTGAGTGGTGGACAAAAGAGTAAGCCAATCTCCCTCGCCATTCCTCCAATCCCTCATTTTCTAACAAGTTCCTTCCAGGTCTCTGCGCCCTCGCCCTTGTCTTCGCAATCCAAGCCTGCGACCCGGCACCTTTCTACCTATTCGACGAAATCGACGCCAATCTCGATGCTCAATACCGTACAGCCGTTGCTCAGATGCTGCAGTCTATTTCCGACTCGACTAACGGCCAGTTTATCTGCACAACCTTCCGACCGGAGATGCTGCATGTCGCGGAGAAGTGTTACGGCGTGAGCTTCCGACAGAAGGCCAGTACCATCGATGTGGTTTCTCGGGACGAAGCGCTCAAGTTTGTTGAGGAGCAGAAGACTTAATGGACAAACTTCTTGTGTACATTTTCTATTCTTTATTTTTTTCAACTTTCATGTGTGGAATGGCGCATTGTGATACCGGATTCTTTATCTTACTGGCTTAGTTGATGCTTTTTTTCGAAATCATATTTCTACTTGGTTCTCTTTTTTCCTTTGTAGACCTTGAGGCCACCCGTCTTGGGAACACTGGCAAACTTGAATCCTGGAGGCTGATTCAAACTACCAGTTTTGGATGAATGCTCTGGCACAAGCAGCCGCGGTAGTTGCTGCGTATTTCTGCCACGGTTTACTCTTGTGGCTATCAGCATAATCGCAGACACCTTTAATGACAACACAAGGTAGGGGTTCCCAAGCACCTGCTCCCTCCATCTCAAATGCGATGAGCGTTCTCATTCTTTGCAATCTGGTCACGATGTGTAGCGGACTTGAGAACGCTCTCTCCAGATGCCATGAGACCAACGTGAACAAGCGGTTGATGCCTTTGATTCTGTCTACGGCGTCGTCATTTCCCTCGCAGTTTGCACACACTCGACAAAGCTGGCAATTATGATGTTTGTGCCGATACCATAATGGGAACAACTTACTTTCCCCGTCCCGGGATAGGATGTCACATCTTCTTGCAAGTCGTCGAGGAAGGCTCGACAGGGGCCAAAACTTGGTTATCTATCAGAATTTTGGAATATGGTTTTCCATGAAAGCAAAGATGTGGCTGTTATTGTTATGCTGACGCAGACTCTCGAGGCAGGTCGGGAGAGATGTGCACAGTACTTCCCTTTGGACTTAGAGTAGGCTTCGATGATCCTGACCGAGAATTCTATTAAATCTTTTGCCACGCCAGAAGAGGAGGCAGAAAAGGTTCAGGTTGAAGAAGGCACCCCCGTCGAACCCGCGATTGTTGAACAGCCCCATTCCGAGGGGACTGCCTCCGATGAAGTATACGATGCCTCTGAAACGATAACTAAAACTTATGCGACGAAGGAGAAGATTGAGACAGCAGAGCCACTGACCAGAAGGTTAAAGAGCCTTTGATTACGGAGTCTGCTGGTCAGGAAGAGGAATCAGATGCGTTCGTGACCGATCAAAGCGGCCATAAGAAAACCCTTCAAAACATTGGCAAGGTCACCTTGCTAGAGTCATGGTTTGATGCCAAGTCAGGGTCAGAGATCCGTAAGCTGGAGTTGACAATCGGCTCAGAGTCGAAGATCGTGTGGCATTTTCTTTTCCCACGCTGGGCGGATTATTCCACGCCCAAAGGCGGCGATCGCGACGCACTTCTTGAACTCATCAAGTTATCAGCTTCCAAATCAGGGCCTGATAATCCAAGTATGATCCACTGCGGTGCGGGCGTCGGCCGCACGCGGGTTTTCATTGCCCTAGATTATCTCCTCCAAGAGCTTGAATCGGGCCAGTTGCTGCAGCTAGCCGATCCTGAAACCGACCCTGTCTTTGAAACGGTCAACCTAATGCGCGAGCAACGCATGTTTATGGTTTACAACGAGATGCAGTTTAAATTTATCTACTAGGTTCTCAAGGGAGCAAACGGATATCAAATTGGGCAAAGTCCCAGCACGACGAAATGAGTCAACCCGACAGCCAGATGAAGGAGCTACGGTCTGCCATGCCCTGGATCATGAACTCGGACTCGGAGTAGCTGAGCTACAACTTGAATAGAAACCACTTACAAGCTTTCAATGCAACATTTGAAACATTTGTGCAACTTCCCTATACTACATATAGTTGATCTTTTAACCCTTGGAAAGATTAAAGACGAGATATTCTAACCTCCCATTGTAATCAAACTCGCGCCTAGGTGTTGGAAAGATACATAACTAAGCTCATTATTGCCATGACAAGAGGAAGGGGCTTGAAGGCAAAATAGAAAAGTAGTAGTACAAGAAATAATATGAGCGCTGAGAAAGGTCCAAAAAATTACAATTCCACATGGTAGAATCCACATGAATTTCCCAAACGCCACAAATGCAATTACGCTCCAAGGATCGTTTTATATGCATCCTCCACCTCCTTCGCAATCTCCAACAACGTAACGATAATAATCTGGTGCGTGATATTGGGGAGCTTGTCACGCTGCAACCCAATCCACTCCAGTGGTGGTGTTGCTTCGCCCATGTCGCGCAGCTGGGGCGTCTCGATGACGGGCGGCTCAAGAGCCGTGTAAGTGTACTTGGATTGTGGCACATTGACCACGGCGGTAATCTTCTCCTGCTGCTCAGGTCCAGATCCACTCCCTTCGGCGCTGCTACTGCCGGGCCCACCGGTAATGCGCACGGCAGATGGCGGGAGCGGTTTACCAAGTCGGGAAGCAAAGGCCCGAGAGTGTGTTTCCCACATATCGCGGATGAAACTGATGCGTGAGTAGTTCCAGCCCACATCCACTTTACCCTCGAAGGTACTGCGGAATATGTAGTCAATTTGCCTGGTTCCGGGGACTTGCCATGTTTCCATTCCAGCGACCAGTCGAGGAACTTTGAGGATGGTCCCTCCGCGGGAGTTGGCAGCACGTTCGGCCATCTCGTCCACCGACAACTCCTCAAGCTGGGCGGCGCTAGGTCGACTGATACCAGAGAGTGCCACGCGAAGTTGGCCTAAAGTTAGGCCTAAAGCGCTATGAATCTTGTCTGATTCAAGCGATACAGCAAATCGGGCTTGGGCATCGAATGCCTCCACTTTGAAAATCTGGTTGTCGAAGAAGGTACTCGGGAATGCGCCGAGATTGACATGGCGGATATTGACGACAACCCCGGTATGCAGCGAAATTGGCGCCTGTTCAGACTCTTCATCGCTCTTCTTGGCAAGTTCCTTCGTTTGAACCTCTGTTCGGTCTGCGTGCATGGTGGATTTGCGCCGAAGGTATCGTTCCACTTCACGGAGTGATGCCTCATACGCAGATTTTTTGTCTTGCACCAGTCGCTGCCAGGCCTGATATAGAGCCAGTGTTTGTGAGGCAGTCAAAGATGTGCAGAAAACCTGCACCTCGTCTCCTTCCAAGATACTGAAGAGTCGCTGATTGTCTTTACCAGAGGATTCGCGTACATTGTACATCAAGAAGTCGAACATTGCAATGTGTGCGACAAGGAAAGGCTGGTAATCGAAGGACACCTTGGCCTGGAGGTGATGGAAGGCAATGGATGCCTGAATGAGAGGGGTATGCATAGCCTCGTCATTCTCATCTGGCCATTGAATAGAGGTGCGGACTTTGAAAGTTCGAAGCTCAACAACTCCACTCAGACGGCCCTTGCTTTCGATACTCACACTATCAAAGTTGATGCACATGCTCTGTTCGCTGTCGGAAGTCTTGTTCGATGACACCCATACGTTGTCAATAGCGAATTGCGCTTTTCCAAGAGTTGAGCCTAGATCAAGTTGAATCTCAAGCTTCTCAATAGCAATAGTGGTATTCCAAGGGAATGCAGACGCCGCGGCAACTTGTTGATATCGTTGAACAATGTATGGCTGATGAGACTCAGGCGTAGGTGCAGGCGCAGGCGGCTCGGGAGTCGCAGCAGGGCTAGACTCATCATCGGAAGGCAGCCAAATTTCTTGGAACAGTAGCGAGTCTTGCACTTGCTTCGCATTCAGTGAAACTTTCATGGGGCTGACTTTCAAAATAGCCGACATCCCGCTCATGCGACCAAGATGCTTGCTGTTCATGAGTGACAGCACCATAGACTTGACTTCAAAGCTTGCCGTAGACTCATTAGAGTACACATGTTTGACTGAAGCTTCTAGGTTGTTGAATGCCAAAGACAAGGCCAGAAAGCGTGCTTGCTCTGCTGATTGAACGGTGTTGACTGTCACGTATACGCTCTCGAATCGTGCTGTGGCGGCCACTCTGGCAATTGGCTGGCAGCTCAGACTGAACTCTTGTTTGTTGAACAATAATCCCAAATTCACCTTGCATCGACCCAAAATTGATGTTGGATCTTGTGCTCCAAACCGAGTCTCTTGCATCAGCTTCTGGGGTTGCAGCTTAGAAGCCGCAGATGGGCGGCGGTTTCGATGTGGTTGGCTCTGCTGTTGATTGTGTTGGCTTTGCTGGCCTTGCTGACTTTGCTGTTTACTCATGATCTCTTTCACGGTAGCAGTCATCTGCTTAACCAAGGGCACCAATGTCGGATAGAGCACATTCGTGGACGGATCAACCTTTAGTTCAGCGTTGAGGGCCGGATCATCAGACCCATTGTCTTCGAAGTGAACCTTCAATGCCACACCTGGGGCGCGAAGGGTTGCTGTCGTCGCCGAATCGCCTTGGACATATTGTCCGTATTTACCTTCTGAGATCCGGCTGCCCTTGAACGTGGAGGCCAGCAAGCTCTGAGAGTCATGCCCTTGTTTGCCTTGCAGTGTGACAGTGGCTCCTGCAAAATCGACATCCACAAAGACAGACCGCAAGCGTCGGTTACCGAAAAGATTGCGATCTTTATTGCTATTGGTGCCATTATCATCATCTGGAGATGACTTGGTCGCCCAAGCAGCTTTGCCTTCCCGGAGAGCATCAGATGCAGAGGCCATGGAATTTCGTATCATGTTCGCTGGAATGATGAATTCGGACGTCGCTCGAATATCCAGCGACTTGCCAGCTGCCTGGAATGCAAGCCATGTATCCTTGCCGCTGGAATAGTAAGCAACATTGAAAACAAGCTCTGGCATGAGTGCGGAATTGAGGGAGCGTTGTTTCCTGTCTGCCCGGGATGGAACCATTTGTAGTTGCATATCCCCAATGCGAAGTTTAGCCGCGTTCTTCTTCTTGTTAGACAGCTCAACCTGCTGGATCGAAAAGACCAGATCCTCAGGCTGTCTGCCTGAACCACCGGACAATGCTGCGGGCATATTCCAGGCAACTTGGATATCCAGGAACTGCAAGGAGTACAAAGCATTCAAAAATGCCTGCGGATTATCATCATCGTTCAAATGAATCTCAGGAGTCTCAGATGGAATTTCCGGTGCGTCGTGGTTGCGATGTCGTAACCTCCTAAGCCGCTTGACTTCATGCGACAGATCCAGCGTCTTGATCCGTTCTTGCGTGTAAATTGCAATATCGACTACCAAAGCAGCGGTTTCAGTAAACAATTCTATGTCAAACTTATCACTTGTGAAGTGATATGCTCGCATGACTTCCCCATTCTCACGAACGGTTGAAGTCCCAAGTAGTTTGAGTGCTGCTGAAAGCCCACCATAGAACGTGCTTTTTGATCGCTCACGTCTGCGTAGCTCGAAATTGATTTGAGAGGCATCAACGCTGAATTCCGGGTACTCCATCGTATAGCCGCGGTCGAGGCCATTCTGGAGGCGCATCTGCATCATACCCAGACTGAGAAGCATTTCTGCTGAGTAGTTCCGTCCTTTCAGACCCGGGGCAATGGCGTGGATCTCTATTCCTGCCATAGTGAGACGGGACTTGTATAGCACAACAGTATCGTCTGTGGTTGACTTGGGCTTCGGCGACTCTTTCTGCAAAGAAAGCACATCTGTTAGATGAGATTTTACAACGCCAACATTCTGCTTGAGGTCCGAAAGAAGGTGCGAGATATCGGGACCAGTCAGTACGGCGAGAAGACTTCGCACTGCACTGGCTTCGAGTTGAATGAGCTCTATGGTCATGTCGACCTCAACCTCCTTCCGGTCGGGCAAGAGATTTGCCAGAATTCGGCCATTGGTTGGGGGTATCTCAAGGACCGACAAAGCGTGAGATCGGGCACCATCGCCAGACATGAATTTGTGGAAATTCTTCTTGACGTCGAAATCGACTTCGATCTTAGAGTTCTCGGTTGGCATCACGGACATTCGTGCCACGTCGCCGATCATCAGATAATTCAAAGACGGCAAAAGGCTGAAGCTTAGCCTATAATCGTCTAGGAACATTGCGACATTGACATTGTTACTAGTTGACTTCTTGGATGCGACAGAACTCACATCAAGATCTTGCTTGGGGATCTTGACATTCTCCATGAGTTGTCGGATGTACCTGACTTCATCTGCTATTAGGAGATCAGCCGTATGTGCCAGGCTGACTGGATCCTGCATCATATTGAAGCGAAGTTTCTTGCATGAGCTGGTGATCTTCCAGTCACGCTTGCACTTAGCGGCATCTTCTTCAGAAAGAAGCGAGAAGAAGAGATAAGGATCTGCGATCTTGGACAGCAGGAGGGTCGTCGATTGACTCAGAAACTCCGAAGAGCAGGACGCGGCACTAAACAAAAGAGCAAGCTTTTCGGTAGTTGCATCTTTAAGCCCCGAGGAACTGTGAACGACTGAACCACGTAGAGATCGCGACACCAAAGCAAGCTTGACGTTGATACCATCAAGGGTGATGGATCCAAAGTCGGTGCCAAAAACAAATTGCAGTTCAGTGGGCTTCGTTTCTTTGACCGCAGTTGGTGTTTCCTCGGGCTTGGATTCCAGTGTGATATTCGACATCACTTTCATCACACCTTCAACTAGATCCACAATCTCCCATCGAAGACGTAAAGCTGAAGAGGAGTTATACACCTGACAACTGACAACCTTCTTATGCTTCTTTGGACTCTCTCCCTGTATTGCCATATCTGGTATTACTGACGTGATGGTCGACAAGTTCTCAATGATGAGATCGCTTTCTCTTGGGCCGGGATCCAAAGAGAACTTGAAGGTTTTGATTGTGCAAGACAATGACAGGGAGGGCTCCTTCGTCGCAGGCCGAGACTCTTGCGTCGACCATATCTTGCGCATTACATAGCTCTTTTCAACGTGGGCTAGGTCCCAGGCTCGCCACTGATCGAATCCAGTCAAAACCGTCGACTTGGCGTTGGAAGGTAACTGCAAATTGTCACCCTGGCAGTTCCTCTCCAATTCCCGTTTAAGGTGCGCTGGAAGATTCTTGTAGACATTTCGAATACGAGAGATGATCTTCCAAGAGTCATGCTGTCGTAGATGGGCCGAGGCAACTCTCAGTACATAAGATATGCGTGTCAAGAATGTGGGATCTGGAATACCAGTAGCGGACTGCGTGACGAAGTAGAGCAGAAGTCGAAGACGTCGTTTGCTGGATAATGACACTTGTTGGAAAGACGAGGCCACCGAGTCAAACATTGTCGTCGCTCGGCGAACAAGCAAAGCCAGACCTTCGACAGACTTGGCGGACGTGACCGTATTGAAGTACCGCATTTGAAGGTTGGACCGGATATTGGGTGTGGTAACCAACCAAAAGTTCATGTCACCTAGCTCGCAGTCGAAGACGGCTTTCTCCTGGAATGCGTCTGCTCGGCCACCCTCCACCGCGATGGATGCGTGATCTGCTGCAGCGTGGACTGTGACACCCTGCTTGAGACCTTCAAGAAGGTCACCCCTTTTGACGCTGCACCCTTCTTTGGAACTCCGTACGAAGTCGATAGAGCTGGATGGCGTAAACGTCGCGAAACTTGATTTGTGGGTTTTCACAGGACCCAGAGACGTCGACCACTCTCAGTTGAATGCTTGGGATGCGCAGGGCTAGAGCGGTGGTTTTCTTTGGTTGGCTCATGGCCTTGTCATATCCCACAATATCGGAAACGACATCCTTTTGAAGAGCATCCATGATCTGGATGGGATGCTTGGGTTCAAGTCCGTCAAGTAATGACGCTAAGCTGTGAAGAAATCTTGGAGTGCAAAATCCCCTGATTCCCAAAGGAAGGTCGATGGCAAAGTTGGTGTAGGTTGTTTGGTCATCTTCAAATGTCAGGAACATGGATTTGTTGTTGTTTTCAGTATTGTTTTCCTCGAAGTTTTGCCTTTCTGCAGGAGACGGTAATTCAGATGTGTCGAGGGAAAGTTTGTGGTAGGAAAAATGTGGTAGGATCCAGGGATTTGCGTCTCGGATAGCTGCAGCGGAATACGGGATCGACTTGGGAGTGTAATACACGCTATCAGTGTCCTTCACCCGGCTAGACCAGCTAGCATCACGGAAAGGAGGATCTGGTCGTTGAGTTTGTTCAGAGCTTGAAAGCGTTCGCGAATCATACTTCCTAGGAAACCTGACACTTCTAAGACTCGATGTTTCGGAAGGAACCAGGAAGCTTCTCCCACTGCTATTGGATGAATAAGTCCTCGAAGACCCATGGTACGATGGGATGCTTCTAGACCCGAACCTTCCTTGGATAGGCTCAGGCATAGATGGAATGGCCATTGTCGGGGCGAGAGATCTTCCTCCCATCGGCAAAGGATGAAGTTGGACCAATCTCTTCCCAGTCAAAGAGTAGCCATTGGGCTCGATGAGTCCGTTTGTCGTGGGCTTTAATATGTTCCTGTTGCAAGCGACGAAGCTCGCCAATGCCTCTCTTGCGCATAGCCATCTTGAGCCCAATTGACAGCTGAATGAGGCCCAGTGTATTTACAGTCTTTTCGGGTGTTCGAAGAGCCTGGGCCACAATATTGCGATCAATGGCAGCTAACGTGACATCGGGAACCAATAATCTCAATCGTTTTGAGAACTTTGAATTGACCCAGTCATTGAATTTTGTTGTCAGCGGGCTCGATTTTAAGACCACAGCAACTTGGTCCAGCAGCACAGAAACATGAATAGAGCTGATTTTTGCCCTCAAGAAAGTCACATCATATAGAACAGGAGGGAAGAGTGGCGCGAGGACATTTTCTTCGTTGTCAAATGAGAAATCGAAGCTTTTCAGACTGGAAGACAAGCATTGCAAGAACTCCGTGGAGCATTCACCCAGGATCTTTCCAACATCGAAATCCCAGTTACAAACATAGGTCGGTTCTGCAGGTGGTAGTCCGAATAGACGATGACCATAGGCGGAGACACCATCAATGAACAACTGGGTTCCTGTAATGGACGTGGATCCATCCTGCTGGACTGACTGGAGGTCGATTTTGAGCGGACTTATTGAAAGTTGCATGTCCATGTAATAATTGGTAAAACGCAAATCAACCTCGAGCGAGGCGGCGCGGAGCCTCGAGCATTTGGATTGGTCGTAGATACTCTCTGGAAGCAGAGCACAGGGGCTATCGACAGTGACATGGACCAATACATCCATATCGTTGGACTTTCTGTTCGGGTTTATTCCGGTGGGGTTGGATGATGGTTCCTCGGCGTTGACCAGTTCTTGATACTCCTCGAGGGTTTTGAAGTGCATCTCATCTCCAAAGTAGTTCTCTCGAACTGTCATGAAACTCTTGATCAAAAACCCGTAGAGATACATTCGAGGCGACCCTCCATTGATGTTGAGTACCAATGTATCTGTCAACTCAGACGAGGTCATGTGAAAATAGTTGTAGGATCCATCAATGAATAGGTTATCCAGCGTGGCCATGGACTTTCCCGGTAAGAAAGCATGCAAGGTATCCCAACCGGGCGTGAGGTAGTCCACACCTCCGTCCTCGAGATTAACTTTGAAATCTACAGCGTTTCGATCAGGCTGAAATTTGTTGAGCGGGATAGTCACATTCGCCGTTAATGTCTTGCCCTTGATGACAATGAATCGATTATCTTCCAGATCAGTCGGGTTGCTGATGATGTTTCGATCGTTCACGTTGACCAAAAGCTGAAGATTCGAAAAGACGAGATCGATATTGTAGATGAATGGTACAAATGTGTAGTACTCAGATGGTGGCCCTGATGCCCAATCGCTCACAAGGTCAGTCAGAAGAAAGATATGATCTCGTAGGAGGAACAGTTCCAAATCCTGGCTGTCGACCGTAAATCTCCACGATCGAAGACTATTCCAAATGAGAGGGTTGGACAAGTCACAAGTGACAAATTGTCGAGGGCACTGCCAGAGGAGCCCATGGTTCACACTGGAAGACAATTTTGACTCTCGCAAATCAAGAGTGAGCTCGTTTCGAAAGCCCACACTAGAAGCCACCATGTCCATGGCGTAGCTGATAGAGGAGTCGGCTGCCACACAGAGAGACAGCCATCCAAAGGGACGGATGTCGGATCCAAGGGTTCCCTTTTCACCTTCTTTCGGGCGGGATTTCCTTCTCTCCTGTTGACCTTTTGCCTTTGAGGAACCCCTGATGGCATCAGCCCGACCTTTCCATTGCCAATCTTTCGATTGCTCGCGGGTAGGAATTCGCAGTTCAAGCTCGCTGCTGATCTCAACACGTAATCTAAATGCTGTACTTTGCCTCAAGACACCCGGGGCCAATTGCTCTGCAGGATCGGAGCTTCGGTAGAAATTTGGGAAAAAAACATTTTGCAAGCCGACTCTTTCCCTATCGGTCCAAGGCCCGTAGTTTATTGTGCCGCCGTCAATTTTCATGTCGATACCCCATTCCGGAGGAAGAGCGTCGTTGATGTTTTTGTCCGTCTTATCATGGCCAGGCTGGGTGGAAGCCAGGTGTTGAGGACCAACCCGTCCCGGTATATCCCAGAAATAGGTCAAATCCAAGCTAGGGCTGTCTATTATTGTTGAAAACCTCGCATACTCGACCGAATTCCATTGTTCATGGTCATCGGCATCGCCTTGATCTAGATACCGGGACAATCCAGTCCAACGAACTTCGGGAAACTCTGCTTGACTTCGTGGCAGATAATCTGCCTGCTTGATACTGGAATGAAAGGACTCGACAGAGCTCTGAAAATACGGGACGAGATCTCGAATCCCATGCCATAGCTTGCGCTTGTGAAATCGGTAGCTGAAGGGGTTCCGCTTTTTTTTGCTTTTTGAAGGATCCTCTTTTTCTGCAGCACTCAGAACTTTGGCAGTTGCTAGTTGGGTTTGTTTGAAGTCGGGATTAGGGCGCATTTGAAGGACAGGGTGACTGAAATTGAACGCAAAGAGTTGTCGATAAAGATCAAGAGGTCCGGCGTTGCATGCAGCGATGTTCCCTGTCGCACTATCAAAAGTAGTCGTCAAGACAGATCTGGTATTCTCGTTTCCAAGCACAACGGCGCCTTTGGTGCATTCAAGTTTCACCGGGAGGAGCTGAAGCATGTTTGAGACGGGTTCCGAGAGCTCAGCATGGCGAATATCGGTCTTCCGGGATCGCAAATTATCATCTTCGGTCGTATGGCGCTCTGGCAGATCATTGGATTCCGGCTTAGGTTCGTTCGCAGATCGGATATTGACCGTGTCGTTGGTACGCTGACGTTCCGGTTGCGAGCCAGTAGAGGAAGTTGGCGAGTATGGGTTGTCCTCATCTTTGTCTGATTTACCATCTTTGGTATATCCAAACCCGGCCAGAATACTGTCATAGGCTGGGCTGCGATTGTAAATGAACCATTCCAGCCCGTAGACCTTCATGGAGACGCGACAGGGTAGCTCCGTGGCCTTGCCCACGCCGCCTTCTTCTCCATGGCCATCATTCTTCCCACCGGTGCTCGGAGAATCACTTTTGGGCCCTTCAGATGTGCCCAACCCCCCTGTCTTGCGCCGAACCTCCGAGAGGTCCGTCCGTTCCACATTGCGCTTCCAATACCTCCATGTTATGAAACCGCCATGGATGAAGATCGTCTCGTTGGCGCCATGGTACCTGACGCCTTTGAAAAATATTCGACCACCGAGTAGCGAGACTTGCAGCGCGTTAATATCGATATAGACGCGATAATAGTGCCAGGTGTATGCGCGAATTGCATATGATACGAGGGTCGCGAATAGTCGATTGAAGTAAAGGAGGAAGAAAAGGGCCCTGGATTGTTCAGCAACAACATCCACAAAGTCAAATGGTCACATATCTCTCTATACATACAGAATACAGGAAACGATCAGCTCCAAAAGAAAAAACCTAGTGCAATCAGCAACGCGATCTTCTGGCAAACAGGAGCTCCGAGACAAACCAATTGAAGCTTGGGTCCGGCGTCAGATAGGAAGCCGTCAAGCTTGTACTGGCCATTTCTCAGTGGGATCGCCAGCCGGCATGAGCATCCTCGAGTCCAAAATGACTCGCGACCAACGAGCCTAAGCAGTTTGCGCGTAGCCTAGTTCTTTTTTGGGTGTTGTCGGCATCGGCATCGGCGTCGGGGGGGAGGCAGTCGCGGAATGCGGGCAAGTCAAGGCGGTGTCACGAGAAGATCGTCATCGGCCGACGCCTCCTCCTGCCAACATTCGAAGGAGCTCCCTCCAGCTACTTCGACTAATTTAGGCGGCTGGATTTCGTGCCTCTGCTTGGGTTCGGGCGATATGAAGTGGTGTCTTTAAGATTCGCGGCCATTTAACCCGCGCTTTGTCAACTCTGAGCCCATCATGAAGGCCCCTGCCAGCGGTACGGGCTCAAGCCTGGCGCAGGCGATCATTATAACTTCAGGCGTTGCAGCTCTGGTAGCTTCGCTGCTCTCTCTTGTGTGAGTCTTTTGTTTATTGCTTCCCTGGATTTGGCCTCTTTGGCCCCATCAATAGCCATATCGCAGAACTCTTAAGCTAACGTCTGCCTGGCTTTTACAGATCGATATGGTTTCAAACGTACGACCTTTGTTCACAACTTCCCACTCTCTCGAGACCAAATACTGAAATGGAGCTTGATTTAGGAAAAACTATCGAAAGCCGTTACTCCAAAGATATGTTGTGCGCATATTATTGATGTTAGTATTTGGTGGTAGCCTGGGACTTCAGGGGTGAGAACGAGAACGAGAACAACTGCTGATTGAGAACAGGGTGCCAATCTACGCAGCATCATCATGGACAAGCATTATTTCCCTTCGAGCCGCACAGTTCCTGGATCCGATTCGAGATATTTATGAGGTGGGTTTCTCTGTTTCGAAGCTACGCAGACCCGCTCTGATAATGGACCCCAACAGGCCTTCACGATCTACACATTTTTCCAACTTCTCATAAACTTCCTCGGTGGGAGAGATCCGTGATTATCATGGCACATGGCCGTCCTCCAGTCTCACATGCCTGGCCCCTCAATCATTGTCTGAAGAAGATCGATATCTCCGACCCCCACACATTCTTAGCTGTGAAGCGCGGTATCTTGCAGTATGCATGGCTTAAACCTGTTTTAGCACTTGTCTCGATCGTTATGAAGGCGACAGATACCTATGAGGAAGGTTATCTAGGTATCACCTCGGGCTACCTCTGGACGGGCATTGTGTACAACCTCAGTGTGACGATTAGCCTGTATTCCCTCGCCATGTTCTGGGTGTGCTTGCATGACGACCTCACCCCTTTCCGCCCTGTCCCGAAATTTCTCTCCGTAAAGCTCATTATCTTCGCTTCATACTGGCAAGGATTCTTCTTGTCCATTCTGCAATGGCTGGGCGCTATGGGCAACGGTCTTGCCGGATATACCCCGGACAATCTGGCAGCAGCAATTCAGGATAGTCTCATCTGCTTTGAGATGCCCATCTTTGCGATCGTGCACTGGTATGCGTTCTCGTGGCACGACTATGCAGACCCAACGATTTCGGCAGCCCGACTCCCAGTGAAATACGCCCTGCGCGATGCCTTTGGCATTCTAGACCTGGTTGAAGATACTAAGATTACCATGCGCGGGGATAACTACGAATACCGACATTTCGATTCAGGAGACAACGTCATCGCGCACGAGGAGTCTCATTCGCGAGTCAAGCGAGTGATGGACGGAATGCGATATGAACGCGGTGGAAAAGCGAAGTATTGGATCCCCAAGCCTGGCGAAGCAAACAAACCCGGCGAGATCAACAGTCGCACCCCGTTACTTGCAGGCGGGGGAGACTCAAGCCAACGTGGTCGAAGTGAGCGTGGTAGTCGCAGTTCGACCGAGCGATATCGATCATCGTACAGCGAAATTGATAGCGCGATGGATGATGAAGATGAACGACTTTTCACGAATGCACGAGCCCTGGAGTTCGGAGATTGGAATGTACGTTGAAAGTGCCAAGCTCGCTCAAGGTCCCACGGTATCGTTTCGCAAACGCGAGTGCTAACCAACTTCCGACAGTATCCGGTGATTACAGCCAACGAAGTCCCCAGAGATCAACGACTGTCAGCCAGCCAGAGTTACCAAGGATCATCTCAGGCGGGAGGTGATGTGAAAAAGGCCCGTTCGCATCGGAAAGGCCGAGCATCGGGCAGTGGAGGCAGACGCCATGCCAACAGCGGCAGCGGCAGCGCCAACGCGAACGCCAACGCCAACGCCAACAGCTCCCGTAGGTCCAGTAGGAGCTCAGAGGTGCCTCGTCCCTTGCAGCGCAATGCCAGCTCCAGTAGTTCACAGAAATCGCAACCCAGCCAACGAGTGGATCTCGTGGTGGAGGACCATGAGGCTGAAGAGGAAGACCGGGTCCAGACTCAGCGCGAGTTGGGCTCTGCTTGGGCGGGTGGTGAAACCCGACATTTCTCGTAAGTCCATTGTTTTCCCTTCGCGATTGGACCACAACTGCACACGACCAAAATTGGATTGACCCTGTTCTCATTTTCCAGGAGACCGACCAACCAGCCAATCGAAGAGGAGGTTGAGACCGAAGCTCCGACTAGGGAAGCCCCGGCTGAACCTACTCAGGACGATCGCGAGCATCGCTCCGGCCACTGGGCTTACGATGGAATGGAGGAGGACAATAATGTATGGGGCCGATAGAATAGGGTTTCCTGTATTATTCTTTTATTTTTTAGGGTTTTCAACAGCATATTGGGGTGCTTTACCTGTCACTTTTCTTTTTTCCCACGGTTCGGCCCCAGTAAGGCCCCAGTAAAGTTGTATCCGCGAACTCATGGGGTCCCTCTTTCATTCCGCGAAACCTCGAAACAACATTCTGAATCGAAATGAAACAGATGAAACCATGGGTCCCAAGGTATGCCCATGTGCCAATTTCCACAGGTGCCATCAATGCGCTGGCCCCTCCTCTACGCGCCCGGCCCACTGCAGCTCCTCCCGCTACGGATATACTTAGTACTCCGTCCTCCAGAGCTAGCACTACTTGTGCCATGGCAGAAGCTCGATAAGCCCAAATGTGACATCTCCACATGATCCTGGCGAATCAGGCACCACATCCATCCCCGCTAAGGTGATCGTCACCAACGATGGTGTGTACTCACACTGTGAGCACCAGGATGATTTACTCATCCGGGTTTAGTTCGCGCTGCTTAGCGGCCCCAGGGGTCTCTCATTCTACCGTCCCTGGACGAGTAAGGAACTCTGTTCGCCCATGGTGTATGCGCCTTGGGGGGGGTATCCTCGTCCTGTCGGGGTGGGGGCTGATCCTTAGTACTCTTCTCGTACGACTCTTGTCGTCGCTAGCAATCCGTTTCGTTCGTTTCGATTTTCCTTGCTATTTGTTTCTTTATCCGCTCCCATCCTTTGTTGCTCCTCTCTTCTTGAATTTTCGCCTTCCGGCAAGGTGATGGATTGATTCCCCAAACGCGCTGGCCGCCATGACGCTGGCTTTGGAACAAGCGGGATCGCTCTTCACCGGCTGGTTTCGGTCATGCGTCTCATGTTTATCGCCGCATGAAGAGGTGCATGAGGGACAGAGGGGTCGAGAGACGAAGGAAAGAGGTATGTTGCACCAAGGTGAACCGAACTCCAAGGATAGGAGTATATCCATGTACATCTATCAGCGGCTAATCCATCGACCCTGGAGTATAGGCGTCGAACGGGAGATGCAAGTATGCCATACCCAACCGCATCTGGTTCCTCCCATGAAACTGGTCGTGTACGATGATCTCCCCAGTCCCGGTGGTTATTATCATCGCCAGCAGAGTTCACTATCATCATGGGTAGTTGAGGGGAGAAATCTCGCGTCACGGGCTTCAACCCGTGCAAGTATGTCCTGGAAGAGACAATCAACTGGAACTCCCTTGAAGATTGGCGCACCCTCCGATTTTCGTCGAGTCGACTCCTTCCATCTCGACTCGATGCCGGCATTGCCAAAGCAGTACCGGCCCCTGGAATTAAGCATTCACCGATCTGGTCATCGGTTATCAGACTTGCCCTCGTTCGAGGAGTTCCAGCTAGAGGACAATCATCAACGCCAGACTATAGCGGCCCCTCCACGAGCCTTCACTCCACCTGGTATGCGAGCCCGACGCTGTCAATCTAGTCATGCTGCAGTATCCGTATCTCGAAAACCAGTCGGCTCGGGAGACCATCTATCATCTGTATACGTTGAGCATCCCATCGAAGCCCCCAAGCCAGTCCGCATTGCGAGCACCTTGATCCCCCATTTCTCTCTCGTCAACCCCATTGAGACAACTATCCACGAGGAAGATCTCAACATGCCATTCTTCGACGAGTCCAGCTGGGAATCAAACCCGCTCTCACTAAAAACCTCAACCCCAAACCACGCCGAGTCTCAAACTATCTCGTCAGAGTCAGAACCCCAAACACCTCGTCCCAAAGACACCGACCCCAACGACTCATCCACCTTCACCAACTCTCCTTTCTCCACCAGAGATTCCCCATCAACCGCAAGTTCACGAACAATGCCATCCCGCCTCTCCTCTCTCCGCCGTCCTCGACAGCCGAAAACCGCAAGACCATCGCCGCAGTGCCCTTACCCGCACTCCCCAGTCGAATGTCGCAGTGGTTCTTCCCCGGCAGCAAAGCATCCGAATCCGGATCCCCATCCAAGCCAGCAGTCTCCCTCGCCGGCGAAAATGGATTCGCCTGGGAACGCACCCGGACTCTCAGCGGTACAACTGTCGGTTCAACGGTCACGACTATCACCGGCGGCGCGAATACCCGACGACCGAATTTCTCTATCTCGAGTTCTTTCACTGCCTCGACAACGCCCAGGGCGTCGATTTCAGGAACTACCCCAACCCCGGGTACAGAGAAGGATATTGATGCGGGCTTTTATCACCCTACTATCTTTGAGGGTCATTCGCAGCATCATCTTTCGCAGACTGGTTCTCGGGCTGAGGATTTCCCGAGATATGATGGGACCAATGTTGGACTGGCCTTTTAGGGCTTGCTTTAGTGGTTAGTCTGAGCTGGTGGTGACGTTGGGTACTTATATCGTGCGGCTTTAGGCCCTAAGTGACTTGGAATTTCTCGCTTGGTTCAAAGACTTGTTATTTGAATTTGCTGGAAACTTCTATATAATTGTGCGTTGCTTTTGGTGTTTGTGATGGAATACCCCTTGGATATTGATTGGTTTTTTTGAGTTTTTCTTGTTTGAGATTTTGGGATTGGAGATGAAGATCTGTATCCTGGTATTAGTATACAGTTATTAATGGGTAGTTGAATCAAAGCTAGGGTGGTTTGCAATGTATATGCTCGTTTTCGTTTCTAAGGTTCGCCGACTAACGACTAGGTAGTAACTAGTAGCTTAAGTAATACAACCTCTGGAGTACAGTAGTAGTGTTGCAAAAGTTTGAAACCCCTTGTTGACTCCAGGGCTGCCCTGATCTCTGCCTTCCCAAGGGGAACAAGTAGCTACCCAAGATGGAGTAGATTGGCTAATTTATTCCATCTTAGGTAGCTACAGGTCTGCCATTAGAAGCCCTGGAGGTGGTTGACAATTGCGGGCAATAGGAGGTTTCAACCTTTTGCATGGCCACTGTATATCGCCTCATGAGGCTGTTTTAGATATTGCCATCCATGATGTTGCCAACCTTGGTTTACGGATACAATCCGGTCAACTAGAGACTACCTCTTCATCACATAACTATCCATTGCATTTATACAACATAAAAATAAAGACCTAAACCTTGGAAAGAGTCTAGCTGATCGCTCGGTTCGCCTTCTCAAAGCCCCAGCAAGTCGGGTTAAAAAAAGCACAGTGATAATATGTAAAGAATGTGCAGCAAGGGTATCTTGTCAAAGCCACACACACACAAAGAAGAAACAAGAAGAGAAAAACATCGATGATATACATGAAGAGCCAAAAGCCACAGAATCACCGGAGAAATGGGCCAACTACTCTAGTCCGAGGACACAATCTCCAACCCATCCGCGGCAGGCATACTCACCGAACCATTCTTCCGATGATTCTGATTCTGCATACCAAGAATCTGCCACGCTCGACCCATCATCCCATGTCCAAGTCCCTGAGGAAATTCAACAGAGGCTTTATGAGCATGTTTCGGCATACGATCACGCAGCGCGCGTTCACGCTTAGCAGCAGCCAAACGATCCTGTTCACGCTCGTGATGGACAATATCGTCGCGCCATTCGGCCCAGTGCTCGAAATTCTCGCGTTGCTGGAGAACCTGGTAGCGGAGACGAGACTTCGAGGGTCGCCATGCGTTGCGGTTTGTGTTTGTGTTTTCGTTCTCCTCGCCTGTCGTCGTCGGGGCCATTGTGGACTTCAAGTCGCAGACACGAGTTTCCTTCGTCAATTTGAGGAGATGGGTCAAGACATCGCGACTTTCCAGTGCTGTGCGCTGAATCTTTTCTTGCTCGACGGTGGGGTTTGCCCGGGTGAGGGTGCGTCCAGCCAGGCATGCAACTCTGTCGACCGCTGTACAGAGTAAGGGTCGAGAAGGCTTGAGCGACGGTTCTCCTCCCGGAGGAAACGAACGGCAGATTGTAGGCTTTCAACCTCAGCGCGGAGGGATTCATTCTCCTGCATCGCGGCGAGGGAGGCCTCGTTGTCAATAACGATGCCATCTCCGGTGGTGGTCACGCCGGCAGCGCCAGACATGTGCTTCAGTTTCTCGTAACGGGATTTGATTTCCTCGCGTTCTTTTTCCACAGCCTGGAGTTCGACTGCTTGTCGCTCTACAAGCTTTTGGAGCTCGGATTCAGATGACTGGAATTCTTCGATCTTCGTTTCCAGATCCTTGACCATGGAGGCTTTCTTGCTTGTCTCACGCATGCGTGACTCGAGGAGCTCGATTTTGATTCCTCGCTCTTCGAGGGTGTTATCTTTGACTCCCAGAGCTGTGGAAACCTCGTGAACCTCATTCTTCAAGCGACGAATTTCCTCATCCGCATCTGGTGAAATGGTTTTGTTTGACTTTAATTCCTCCGCTCGAGCGATCCAAGGGAATGCGCCTCTTTCGAATTCGACTGTACGGGAGAGGTTCGAAGAAATTGAGTCAAGTCCATCGAGCTGGCCACCCAGGTCACGCAATTTGTTCAAAAGTAGCAGAATTGGATCATTGGGATCCTGAGGGCCATCCTCGGACACCACAATACCTGCGAATGACAGAGCCATGCTGTCCAGAATCTCTTGGAGAGCAAATGGTTCTGTGCGACTTTCATCACTAGTAAGAACCACAATATTGTGGGCAAGTTTTCGAGTCAATTGGGAGAGTTCGCGAGTAGCGGTTTCATAATTTTTGAAAGGCTCATCGGCATCCTCTCTTAAAGGTGCCATGGATCGTGATCTCAGTTCTTCAAGAGCCCGAGAAATCTTCCCGGTAGCCACCTTCAAGCCACGAGCCTGGGAAACAAATATATCAAGTTGTTTGAGGGTGAATGCGTTCTCCTCACTGCCACTGCCTTCTTCAGAGGATTCCTCTGGAGCTGCAAGTTTTGAAGCAACTAGGGCCCGGATATTTGCGATACCGCCGGCAGCATGATCAAGGTATGACTGGGAAAGGCTCGCACGCATACACATCTCGTCGGCAAACATTTCTGGGGTCGATGGGAGAATAGTCTCTGCCAAGTGTGCAAGCAAAGCAATGGACCGGCGTAGTTCCACGCCAAATTTCTGCATGTTCACCTCGTTTTTCTTACAGTTCTCAACCCAGAAGTTCAATGTGCGCTCGACGGGTTCCATTTCGAAAAGAGCAGCCTTGGTGTTTATAAACTCGTCTGGAGTGCAAGCACTAACATGATTGACAAACTGATTACAGACGGTCGCAATCCAGAGCAGCTGTTCAAGAACTTCATGGGAATGGAAAAGCTCGTCCGGGGTCGCGAGAGTGGACTCGTCGGAAATTTTCTCGCGGATGGTGTTATTCATGATGGTGGCCTTGTAGCTGACACGCTTGAATCGGAGAAGAGCCAAGACCGAGTTTCGTTCCCGTCGAAATATTCGGGAAGGTATAGCTTGATGATCGAAAGGTGTTGTACCGCTTCCTCGGCCTCCATCCGGTTAAGTTCCACGTCAATTGACTTAGTCTGAGCCTTGGACACTGAAGCTTGGAGCTTCATATTCAGGTTCATCATGGCTCTTGAACGAGTGGTGAGGTCTGTAGCTTCGGCTTCTGAAATCTGTTGAGATGACCGCATATCTTCCAGATCAGTCTGTAAATTGGTGACCAATTCTCTGAAGCGACCCAGTGTATATCCCAATTCCTCGATGGCCTCCTCTTGCTGCTCGTTCTTCTTGACCTGCTCATTGAAGACAGTTTCTTTATAATCAAGCTCTTCTTGAAGCTGCTTCTCAGTCTCGATGTGGGTATATTCCAACTCGTCACTGATCTCCCTCAAAGCTTCTAGATCTTCGATAGCAGCCTTGAGTTCATTGATTTCCTCCTGATAGCGCATGTTCTTGTCGGCTAGCTCTTCGATCATTTCTTCGGCGCCCAGCGCAGTCTCAAGCTGTTGCTTGAGATCGTCGACATTCGTCTCCGCAACAAGAAGCCTCTCCTTCGCAGCTTCATAGTCAGACTTGACAGCAGAGTACTCTTCCAGATCTTGCTCCAATTCCTTGATCTGATCCTTCAGGTCTCCCTCCTGCTGTTGTGTCATGTCTCGCAGACGGATAAGCGCCTCGCGAAGTCGTTCGTTGGTCTTCTCCATCTGCAACCACCCATGGCTGGATCGATCTTCAGGATTGGTCTCGTTGCTGAACTCTTCGTTCTCTTCGCGAAGAACTTCCACTTCCAAGTTAAGCTCCTCCATCTTAGATCGAAGCGCTTCGCACTCATGCTTGTATGCCTCGGACGTTTCCTCCGCCATCTCTCTATCAAGAGTTGCCATCTCCATAAGCGACTCATGCTCGGCTTGCATTCGCTCAACCTCTTCGAGACGAGCCTCAGTTTCCTTCAGCTTTTTACGCAACTCCGTGATCTCCATTTGCTGCGGTGAATACTTGGCTTGTAGCTTTTGAATAATATTCTCGAACTTGTCGCGCTCGGTCTGCACTTGCTCAAGTGACTTGAGCTTCTCCCGATCTTCAGAACGCTTCTTTTCCATGACACGGAGCTTGGTATGAAGTTCTTCTAATTCCCTGGTCACCGCTGCATTTTGGGCAGGCCGGGATGATGTACCGGCGGCACTTGGACGCATTGTCGTGGGTCTGGCAGTCAAAGATTGTCTGGAGGCTTTGGGCGCAGGCGTTCGTCTTTCATCTTGCGGAGTTTCGCCTTCCGCGTCAAAAGATTCCGCATCATCGGTTGGCTCTTCTGACTGGCCGCTTGCCCCGGTTTCTCCGCCATCCGAGGCCTTTGTTGGGGCAACCCGCCGCAAGGAAGGTCGTTTGGATAGTCCGGCGGCTGTGCTAGACACCGCAGATCCTGTTCGCGAAGTCCTTGTAGATGCCCCAATAGTCGAGGGTCGGCCAGCCCTGGCAGTGGGCTGGGTCGTAGATGCACCGGTAGAGGGTCTGGAAGCATGAGCAGCCGGGCGAGGTCTGGTGGCAGTGGGGGCGACGGTGGAAGTGCGGGCGGCACCTCCTAGCGATGAACGGCTCGAGGCTGCAGAAAGCTGCTTCGTCGGGGACTTGGTAGGAGACTGCAGAGGAGAAGGCCAGTTAGTACGATTTGCGGTAACGGGACGGGGAGAAGAAGCTATGATACCCTGATTGAAGTTCGAGGGGCCATTCTCGGTGCAGGTGTAGGCGTTCCAGTCGCATTGGTGCTCTGTCGCTTGACAGCGGTCGGAGGCAGCGCACCAGGTTTCCTTGCGCCAGGGGTGATTCCGCTTTGTCTGCTGGCAGCAGCGGCGGGGACGGGTTTGGCGCCTTGTTTACTCTCCCGCGTTGGCTGTTCCAGCACTGCGGCGATTGCCGTTGGGCGAATGAACATGCCATATCCTGGCTCACAATGAAAGTACCGTTCACCTTGTACCTGGCCATCGTTCTTTCCAGTAGCATCGTCCAATTCAACGCCAATCCAATCTCCAACGGCGAAGTGGGTGGTGCCGAGGAAGCGGACCGTGGCCTGTCGCCCATCGGTCAGGCTGATGACCGAACCCGGGGAAATCTCTTGTCCGGTCATCGCGAGCGTAGGGATCAATGATCCACGACGACGAACAGTTGTTGACCAAAAGGAGGGGTGGTTTGATGTTGTTGGTGGCAGGAGAGACGGGATGCGCTAAAGGAGTCCGCTCTGGCCAGGAGCTTCTCCGTCTCGGGCGACGCGCTCCACCAGTAGATTGCCGCCTGAGGCAGAAACAGAAACATCATCGGAGACTTGCATGATTGACAGTTCACTACGACAGGTTTCGGCGTTCTTGTGTTTTGGATTCATTGTAATCTTGAATTCATTAACATGATAATCTATTCCCTTCTCTTGGTATTCCACTGTCTAAAGTTGGACGAAACAAAGGACGTCTTTCCAAGAACTGTCCTATCGCAAGTCTAGTATCAACAAAAAGGGCCTCTAGGCACATAACAAGAATAACTCTAAACAGTGTCATTTCCCTGCGATTTGAAAATATCAGGGAAATGGGTTCGAAGCTCCTCCAGGCTTGAGATCAGATATTTAGAGGCAGGGATACGTGGAATGGTGACACCCGGTTCCACCAAGTGAACTGTCGTCCACCCCCTGGCTTGGGCATGTGTACAGTTCAGGTGCGAATCGTCTGTACATTGGACAAGGTAAGTTAGCGGCGAACGGCTAGCAAGATCAAAGGAGGAGGCATGGGACTGATTGACGTACCAACAAAGTAGCACGATTCCGTACTGGGAACGCAGGCCTCTTTCTCTGCCTTGGCATACATATCCTGGCTGGGTTTGCAAACCAACGGTAACTGGCCATAGTCACAATAGGTGATACCTTCAAAAAGGTCTTCCACTCCTAGCAACTTGACCACTCGTTTTCCATGGTTGACATAGGCATTGGTGAGTAGCCAGGGTTTCACCTTGGTAGTGTCGAGGCTCTCCAACAGCTTGCGCAGCTTGGGATTGGGCTTCAAGATCCTGTCCAGAGGAAGGGCATCATCCACTTCTTCATTGAATTCAAGAGGATCAATTTGGTGGTGGCGTGTCAGGCCTTCAATAGCCAAGCCGTACTCCTTATAGTACTTTTGGTGAAGCATGTGGGCGTCCTCCGAAGTAAGCTCTAGATGCTTAACGAAGAATTTATCTGGAGGATAAAACTGTCAGTTTTTGCATAAGATTGTCACTAATTCCAGTGTCATTTACTTATAAGTGTCTGCATTTCATCGTGAATGTTGCATGCTAGAAGTAATTGTCAGTATAGCCCCGGAGCTCAAATATACCAGAGCTGAACTGTACATTTAGAGTAAAGCTAGACATGAAAAAAGAATGTTAGTCAGGTTATGCAGCCAGTTGACCATGCGAATCTACCACTTCAGACGTACACAATTGTCAATATCGAAGAAGAACACGGGCGTGAGTCACTTCCATTTGCGCCGTTGACTGCCGTCATTGTGGAGTTCCAGCGAGAGATGAATGGAGAACCAAGTGAAGACTTCGGTGAGAATGAAACAGGACGTAGGAATTGACTGGTAAAACGACCAAATGCACGATGCATGGGGAAATTGAGATGTGGTCAAGGTATCAAGAAAGCTGGGGCAAACCCCAAGGTAAAAGAAAGTCACTGGGGAACCTCGGGGGGCAATCACGGGACCTCATTGGTTTCTGACGTTAGCGCCTGCCGCAGAAAAACGCGACCCGCGATCATCTTTTTTTTTACCGCTCCCTTTCTAGTTGAGTTTGAGCTTCTTGGAACTCGCAGTGCGATTCCAAGATAAAATAGGCAGGGCGATTCAAAAGTCATAGCACTTTTCAACTGCCTTGCAAGCAAAAAGAGACACTCTTTCAGATTTAATCTCAGCCGTCTTCAACTTGAAGCAGCTCTCTCTCCCCTTGAGATCATGGCTACGGCACATGGTTCCACTACTCACCTTCCAACAGGTCCGATGGCTGCCACCGCAGCAATAACTGCAGACGAGGTCCAGGAATACGAGCGCATCTTGAAAATCAGCGATGACATCTTCGCAGGCTCACATCCACGCCTCAGGGTCCCCCAGCAATTTGTGCGCAAGCCTACAGCACGAAATGTCCAAAATGGCACCGCGTCCACCCAAGTTGCGAAGACCAAGCCCTCCAACGCCCTCACTGAGCATGTCGCCTTTCTTGAGACCTCGTCTGAGTCCCCACGTCGCAGTCAAGGTCAAGGTCAAGGCCCAGTGGCCGGCAACCTCCCGTCCACGGCCACCCGCATAGCTCCCAAACCCGCCTCGGAAATCGACCCTATCTTCTTGACCAAGTCAGATGATTTGGTTAGAGCGGAGCTTCAGTTACAGAGACAGAGGTTGGAAAGAACTTTGCGGGACCAGACAGATCAACTGAAGTACGAGGTGAAGAACAAGCTCGCAGCCCAGGATACGAAACCTGGTTTCAATGTCTCGCAATTGTTGGAACGCGCACTGCAAATCGCGAATCCCGTTTCCATGGGCGAACCTTCCGAGACAAATGGGCCGAGCGATTCCTTCGATGAAAATTCTTTCTACTCCAGTAGAGCTCCTGACTCGACTCCGCCTCTTGAAGAGCAGCGAAGACCATCTCCTCCGGTGGCACTGACTCAAGTGGCGGACACGGCCAAGCGCGCCCCGGTGGAGCCATATGCAGATGAGTTGCAGCGACTTGAAGCTCTGAATCGAACTGGCTCTGATCAGGAAATGCAAGATGCTTACTCTGTTGCTGACCAGCGCGTCCCTTACTCTCAGAAGCAGCCTCTCCCCGCTCAAGACCAGATCACCCACCAACCCCAAGAGCCTCAGCAAATAGATGCTCTGGACGAGCCTGAGTATTCCCCTCCTGCCCCGATTGCCCCACCTCTCAATCAAAGAGCCCCCCGATACCAAGGTGTGGCAGGAAGTGTGCCGAGGCCCAGATACACCGAACAGACCCGGTTTGCGCAAGAGCCAGTCTCCCCGGCCAACAATGTGAAGGTAGTTCGCAACCACATCACATCACCTGCTGCTCCCAGACCATCGCGAGTTTCGCCGCTAGCGACCGCCAAAGTGCCCTCAGTTCAACAACTCCGAGACGAGCGCCATGATCATGACTCTGACCGAATCTACTCTGATCCTGACTCTGGCCGTGGCAGTCCCAATGGCCCAGCTCCGCATATCGTCTCTCGAAAACGAAGACGTTTACAAGGCAGAGGAGAGGACTCTCCCCAGGTTTCCTCGAGAATAGTCAATCCCGATATCAACGAAACATTTATCAAAGAAGAGCCGGTCTCGCCCCCTCCATTCGCAGACGATCCCGCCATTGTCCGGAACAGGACGACCCAAGAACGTCCCGTGTATATCGACATTGCTTCGCCGCAATACACGCCAGTGGCTGAAAGGCAAGAACATCACGCTCAGCGACAAATATACGAACCAAGCTCCTACCACCAAGTCCCTGTTGACCAGGGGCCACCACGAGCTGTTTCTTCTCGAATGAGTACTAGGCGTCCTATTCGCGAAGATGATGATTTGCGACGAGTTGCCAGTATGCAGTACGCCAGCCGGTCAGAATATCCGAGGGAGTACCTACCAGTCGACCCTAACAGCAGCCGCGCTGCGTCCTACTCGGTCATCGATAGGCCACAACCAGAACATCCCGGCTACTACGAAGAAGTCCCTCATTCCTATGGTCCCAGGTATGTTGCTGTGGACGACATGTCTCAGCCAATATATCGCGAGCCATACTATGAGGAGGCACCTCCGCAGCGGGTCATGGCCGCGCCTCGCAGGCGTATTGTAGACGAGAATGGCGTCGAGTATGAGGAAGTGATCCCGGCACATAGGATGCAGCCCATGGCTCCACCCCCTCGACCCATGTCCAGAATACAGCGAGTCGATACATACGATGACCGAGTTCCCGTCCGCGCCCCAAGTGTCCGTGCTCAATCCGTCGTTCAGGATCCATACATTGAACGCAGATACGTGCAGGAGATGCCACCACCACAACCACAATATTACCGTCGTGTCATGGCAGATTATGCCCGTCCCGTCGCCAACGATCGACGATACGCCGCGCCGTTGGAAGGAGGCCACGAGCCCTATTCTCGCAGCGGTAGCGTCCAAGTCGCCGAATATGTTCCTCGTCACTCAACTTACGTAGATGAGCCCCCCGCTCCTCCTTCCGAGAGAGTCATGCGAACAGCAAGTGTCCGGCCCCAACTCGCTCGGTATGAAGAACCGCATGAGATTCCCCAACAGCGGGTTGGAAGTATCCGACCTGGGCACAGTCGGGATGTCAGTGTGATTATGGATGATCGTCTTATGGGCGATTACGTTGAGAGGCCATATTATATTCGCGAGCGACGATTTTATGATGGGGAGGATGGAAGATCTCGTGTGGCGTTAGACGGTGCCGCGGATTCTGTTCAGCGTGTTCAAGTTCCGAGACACTACTAAATCTTTTTTGTTCGTTGCATATCTGGTAGCGTTGGGCAGCATTTATCAGTCCTAAAATCATCCTCGTACGAGAACATATCTGAGATCTTCATATTGCCTAGAACAAATAGATAATAATACAGTTCCCCGAGACTTTTCTAGGGTTGTCGGTTCAAGTTCCTTTTTCCCTTCTACCTACTAGTAGCATTTCCACTCCATTGAGTCCTTTTAGCCACCACAATTCCAAGTCACCCAAGAACCCTGAAGTACCTAGGTATACTACTAGTACTATGCAGGAATATCGTGACCTCGCTATAACTAGTAGGTGACTTGCATATTCGAGGCCGGGGCCCCTTCTCGGGTAGGAAAGGTTCGGAGTCGACTCGGAATTCGATACGGCGTGAATGGAGTCGAGAAAAGCGCGGAGCAGGAAAAATGAAGCTGAAAATAAACCCATCAAGTTGTCAAAGTCAGCAGTTCAGAATCCCGAAATGTGATACGAGTAATCGCATTATTTTATCAAATCTGAAAATCATTGGGGAGATGTGTGTTAATCGTGCAGTGCTTCGAAACCCATGAGCCCTTCCTAGCCGCATCAGAGTGACAATGGTTATCAACACTGTGTGTTTCAGAAACCCAATCATTTGCATCATTTGCGGTCTAGGAGTGTGGGCTTTTCGGAATGAGGACAGTCGAGTCCAGTGTATGTCGCTAGGCACTGAGCGTTGGGAGAGATGTGATTCGTGTGACGAAGGAGGAACATGGGGTGTTTTTGGGTCTTTTGGATTTCACTGACCTTTTCATGTATCGAGTCTTGTGTTCATGACTTTGTTCAAAATGAGGGATAGTTGTTGTGGACGAGAACTTGGAGGAGTGGAGTTTGCCAGTGCGAGTAAACAATTGGAAAAGATATACCCCGAGGCAGTCACTACTCACCACCCACTACCACCCACTACCACCAACTACCACCAACTAATACTAACTACACAACTACGAAATTCCACTTGATCAAAGAAACAGCTCCATTGTTACTCAGACACAACTATCTAGCAGAAAGTATTATCACGCATGGCGTAAGCCGAGATCTAGTATACTACTTAAGGAGATCGTTCCTTATTCAGCCCAGTGCTCTAGATATCAGGGTAGCACCAGCCCATCGCTAATTGATCACCGTTAAATATGACAGCAAATTTCTTGACTCGGCAAACTAGCGTCGCTATGGCTGGCCTCCTCACTCCTTGGGCGCAACATGCTTTCCCGGTCCCCTCGACTCAGGGCCAGATCACTCCCTAACATCGACAGCGAGCGACAACAACCGGCTTGCAAGAAGATCTTCCACGTTTGTACTTCCATCAGAAGCAAGACCCCCAAGTTCTTCGAATTCAGTCAGAAGTCTGTCGATTCTTTTTCCGTGGCCACTCATGTTGAAGAATTCTGTAAGAGAGGCATGGATTCTCAGAAGCTCGGGATCTGGAAGATCCCACCCTCCTTTGTGTGGCTGAAACGTTGCAAGACGATCTGCAGGTAGAATCAGACAAGGTACAGTCAAAGTATCTTCGAAAGTCTTTACGTGGTACTGGTTGTCGACACCGGTAGCGATAAAACATAATCTGAAAGCGCCAAATTCCCAGTGAAGAGACCTTTCCAGCATCATGGCGTTTCGCTCTGTATTTAGCTGTTCTAAGGTGAATGACATATCCTCCAGAGTCGGAAAGTAACGGCTGATGTTAACCCATATATTTGCATGTCGGTCAGATTCAGTAGGGGTCTTAGGATCGAAGGATGCAATATTAAATAGAATAATATGGGCAACTTCAAGATCGGCCTTTTTGGCATCCTTTGGGCGAGGGTGATAGGCACTGCAGTATTTTGTTGCAACACATCTGAAGCCGTATCTTTGCAAGCAGTGGTCTCGGAGCCTTTTCTGAGGGCTCTTAGTTATCGAATCAAGGTCGAGCGCAGTGGTATTTTCGAATGAATCTTCGAAATCCTTACGCAGATAAAAAGGTGTTTCGTCAGTGGGTGTTTTGCCGCCTGATGCTTTGATAGGAAGCAAGAGACCGTTGTAAATTCTCTTGACCAACTTTCGGAGCCTCTCGTCGGTTACACATTCTCTGGCGTCGTCTGCCAAGTTGGCTCGCCCGTCGGGGGGCAGGACGGAGAAAAATTGGCGGAGGACCTGGGTTGTGTCATCGGAGTCGGTTGATTTGTAGCGCCCTAACCTCTGCTCTATAATCTAGCTTTATGATCAGTATTGAAATGACCAAAAGGCATGAAAGGACTCACTCTTTCGGGCGAAAGCATGGCAGAGCTCTCGTTTCTTGGTGGTGATGACATTGTGTCGACGCGAGAACCGATCTGAGCAACGGACTGGATAGAGAGGAGAAGGTACTAGTAGCGGACCGAGTAGCAAACTAAGCAGTGAGCTAAGCAGTAAAAATTAAAATGATCCGAGCGAAGTGGGAAGGGGAGTTTCATAGGATCAAATACTGGGACTTGCTAGATCTATAGACACATCCAGCTGCCATTTCCCCTAGTACCAATTTGGATATATGTGGGTCATGTCAACGAACGTGATGACTAACACAACGTACTAACCCAATGTAGTATACTTCACAGCCAACCACGGTTGACATTGACCAGTTGATGTGGGCCAGGCAGATCGGAGCTTGGCACTGGCACTCCAACTCACGCGTTAAGTGCGACGCGTGAGACTTTCTCAACGTGCCATGAACGATGGCGACCATCAAGGCCATTGAGGCTCAGTCTGTACGCTTACCAGTACTCCCCAGAGTGTGACCGTGCCTTTGCTAACCCCGACTCCTCCAGGTTCATCAAATCCAATCCGGCCAGGTCATTGTTGACCTGTGTTCTGTTGCTAAAGAGCTGGTCGAGAACAGCCTCGATGCGGGCGCAACCACAATCGGTAAGTGCTTTTTTCGCCATCAGCGTCTAGAAACCTTTTCAGACCGACTCTAATATCTTTCCAAAAGAGGTCCGGTTTAAAAATAACGGGCTGGACTTGATCGAGGTCCAGGACAATGGCAGCGGAATCTCGCCGGACAATTACGAGAATATCGGTGCGTCACCCTTGAGAAGAACATCAACGTGCTAGGCGCTAATCCATGCGCTCGCCATTCAGCATTGAAACACTACACCTCGAAGCTATCTTCCTACGATGACCTCTCACGCTTACACACCTTCGGCTTCCGCGGCGAGGCATTGTCATCTCTCTGTGCCCTCGCGAATTTCCACATCGTCACCGCTCAAGCGAACCAAGCCCCCCGCGCAAACAAACTCGATTTCGAAGTTTCCGGGAAGCTGCAAAAGACACAAATAGTCGCCGGGCAGAAGGGGACGACTGCTTCCGTAGAAGGAATCTTCAAGCGACTTCCAGTCCGCCGGCGCGAATTGGAGAAGAATATCAAACGGGAATATGGAAAGGTGTTGAATCTCCTACATGCATACGCATGTATCAGTGCTGGTGTCCGGTTCAGTGTTAAGAACACCGTTGGCAAGACGAAGAATGTGGTTGTTTTTTCTACCAACGCGAACCGCACGACAAGGGAGAACATTGCCAATGTATACGGAGCGAAAACCCTTTCTGCGCTGATTCCATTGGACCTGAAATTGGAATTTGAACCATCTACTTCGATGAAACGCGCAGGTGGGGCGAACAAGTCGAATCAGCTGGTTGTTCAAGGCCATATCTCTCGGCCTGTCTTCGGAGAAGGACGTCAGACTCCGGATCGACAGATGTTCTTTGTCAATTCTCGACCTTGTGGTCTGCCTCAGATTGCAAAGGCTTTTAATGAGGCTTATAAATCGTTCAATGTTTCGCAGTCGCCGTTTATCTTTGCGGACTTTCAGATGGACACGGATGCTTACGATGTGAATGTATCGCCGGATAAGCGGCAGATTCTAATTCATGATGCTGCTGCTTTAATCGAGTCTCTCAAGGCGTCCCTAGTGCAGCTTTTTGAAACTGCTGACCAGACTGTACCCAAGTCACAGGTGCTTGGCTCGAAACTTTCCACCCCTAAGCAGCAGGCACTCGGGGCTCTTCCGGGATTTGTCTCAGCTCGCAAACTCAATCAGCGCGTTTCCGATTCTCCTGCCACCCCGTCTCAGGAATCCAGGGCCGAGAACGAGCACCCAACTGCCCGGAATGATATTGAAATCCCCACCAACACCGAGGAAAACTCACATGACGTCGAGCCTTCAGCTGCCGCTGAAACTACTCCGGCGCCCAAACGACCATCAGCACCGCCTAGAGAAGCCACCTCTCCTATACAAATGCCAGACAACACTCCTGCCAGACCTCGAGGAAAGAGCACAGCAGATTCCCAGGAGCAAATGGAAGACAAAAGAAGCTCCGAAGTGCCACAGGAGCTGTCTTCGCAACTTTCCGACGAACAGCAGCCACCATCCGGCCATCAAATCGATGAGCCAGAAGAAACGCCAAATGTGGTTCAAAATGCATTTGATAGAATGCGCCCACGCCGTCTCCCTGCGGAAATGGCTACAATTACGATTGGCGGCCATACTGTTAAATCGGTGGTGGGAAGTGGTCCTCCGCGCAGACGGACTTCAGATCGGAGATCATCGGACAAGGAGCGTCCGGCGCGAAAACGGCTTATCCACACGCCGTCCCGACCTAATATATTCGGAAATCATATGAAAGAGTTTGCCGCCCCAGGAACACAAACGGAACCAGATGAGGCTGGGGATGAGAAGGCGGAAGATGGAAGCGAAGGCGAATATGAAGACGAAGACGAAGAGGCTGAATACTCTGCAAGTGAGAACAGTCAGGAGAGCGATGCTGAACAGGAAGCCGAAGAAGAGGAAAATCCCCCTTCGATGCCTGAGGATACCGATGATGCCCCTAGACAAGGCGAGGCTCGCCACCAACTGGAATCGGAGACAGCTGAAGTAGAAACAGCAGCGGGCACAGAAGAACAAGACATGGACGAGGTGGAGAAAAAAGCCGAAGAAGAGGCCAGAGTCCAGCATCTAATCCACCAAGCAGAGGAGAACGCCATGCTTCCAAGCGAAAACAACATCAGCCGCGTGAACAAGATGAACAAAGGCGCCGTTCATCGCGATGCAACAGTCCACTTGGTCAGCACGATCGACGCCTCAATCTCCCAGCTACAATCCCAAATGACGAAACTACGTGAAGGCCTTGAACGACAAATACAACCCTCTACCGAAGAAGACGTCGAAGCCAATGACGGCAAAACGGCCGAAGACCGACTTGCCTTAACAGTGAGCAAGACTGATTTCGCGCAGATGCGCATCATCGGCCAATTTAACCTTGGATTCATCATCGCCGTCCGACCCGGCGAAACCCGGGACGAGCTCTTCATCATCGACCAACACGCCTCGGACGAGAAGATCAATTTCGAGCGTCTCCAGTCCGAAACAATCGTTCAGAACCAGCGACTCGTCCGACCACAGCGTCTAGACCTCACGGCCGTCGAAGAAGAGATCGTTCTAGAGAACCGCTCCGCTCTTGAGAAAAACGGATTCATTGTCGCTGTTGATGAGAGCGGCGAGGAACCCATCGGTCGACGATGTAGTCTTATTTTTCTCTCCCACTGAGCAAGGAAGTTGTCTTTGGTTCGCGGGATCTGGAAGAGTTGATCGTTCTTCTGTCTGAGTCGCCGGCCGCTAACTCGGTCTCTGTACCGAGGCCTAGTAAGGTGCGGAAAATGTTTGCGATGCGTGCTTGTCGCTCGAGTATTATGATTGGGAAGACTTTGACTGCGCGGCAGATGCAGCGGGTTGTTTATAATATGGGGACTATTGATAAACCGTGGAATTGTCCGCATGGACGACCAACTATGCGGCATTTGATGAGTTTGGGACAGTGGGATGAATGGGATGAATATGGGGAAGAGGATGGGGATAGTCTTGATATCTATCGGCGTTACGTGGATGAACAGAATCAAGGAGGGGAAGAGGAGGATGAAGAAGATGAGGAGGATGAACTTGAAGCATAAAAGCGATACCCAATAACAAATCAATATTTACCCACTATCGAAGGTATATTCAAAACGACTCGCACCTTGAAAGCAATTGCTTCGACTTTAATCTGAATACCTCCGAGTCCAACCCAGTGTTTACTACTCCCTAAGTCACTATACGTACTACCATATTTCCCCTGCAAGGTGGGGCTTTTCCTATTCTAGGTGCCGCCGCTTTAATGAGGGCGCTCAGAATCAGACAACTGAGCAGCTCATATCATATCACGTGACATGTTAGTAAGGCTCTATACACCGAGTGATAAGTGATTGCTTACTGACTGTTCATTGATTACTTAGAGACTGATCAGAACTTCAGAAAGGGCTTCTACTAAGTACCTAGCCTAAACCCTGCCCATACCAAAATTGGTACTCGGCCCTACAACAGTGCTTAAGTGAATTTTTTTTATGGCCTACTCAGCTTCAGATTCTTGAGGTACTTTCCAAGGTAGTGTAATGGGCCAGGGCCCGATTTGATATTAAGTGTCGATATGTGACCTTTATTCCTGTGATATGCACGACGGTTAGCGCACAGATAACTCCTCTTCTTCAAGATTGTGGTAAGCAGCATTTTGGCCCAGCCTAATTGAACCAAAAACACTACAACCCTTCATAATAATATGTGGTTTATATAATTATCAGTTGTTGTATAATGATATCTAGTAGGGTTTGCTACTATTGTTTATCTCAAGGTTCTATGTTTATTTGGGTATTTATCATTGAATTTATACTATATTGATTCTGGGTCTTTTTACTTTGTATACCTAGGAATAGTCACTTCTAGGACTTCTTACTTCATGATTGAAACAGTATCAAATTGTTCATAGTTCAGGGATCACATTATATTGTGTCACTTATATGCCTAGGAATAGTTACTTCTAGGGCTTTTTCCTAGTACTATTCAATGATTACCAATCAGAAGATCATTGTATGTGAAGGGCTGTAGTGTTATTGATCCAATTAGGCTTGGCCAATATGCTATTTACAATAATCTTGAAGAAGAGGAGTTATCTGTGCGCTGACTGTCGTGTATACCTAGGAAAGAGGTTATGTGCCAATACGTGATATCATATTGGGCCCTGGCCTAATATACTTGGGTTCTCTTGGATTGTGCTAAAGTCTAGTGGAGATGGATACTGACACTATCTCCTTTGTTGGGTTTGGGTGCCTCTTACATTCGGAAAGATGAAAAATCCCCTTGAAATTCACCTTCGTTTGAGAGATTCGCTAATTGCTGATTTTGATAGACTGCAATATACTAAATGACGGTGCTATAATTAAGGGATATATCCCACATGATCAACAAACAGGATGGACTTTCAATGAATTAGGGACCAATGTATAGCTGCGTCGTTTCCAATTCAAGCAAGGGATCAAATTAAACTGAGTGTAAGTATGACCAGCGCGTATGATTAATTATTGCTCTGATATTCAAGTCCTGAGAAAATCGATGGTCTTGGCGCGCTAGCCCAGGATTTCCAGGCGAAAGCCAGATTGGGGATGCTACTAAGTGTATGAGGATGGTTCCTGCCGAGCTTAGTTTTGCTCGTATCCATCAACTGGAGCCCCTCGTCCTCCTCCAGCTTGCTTTGCTTCCCACATGACAAAGTGAGGTTGTTCATAGTCGTTAACTCATGAGCATGGGGTTTTTGTCCATCTTGGTTTTCAGGGCATTCAATTTGTCTGAGCCCTCCTATGGGCTGGCAGGGCAGGAAAGTTGACAATATTAAAATCCTTGAACTCCAACCAAACGATTTTAACCCCAAAACTTTCCATATCCAAATTCAGATCAGGCAAAATTGTGCGGTGGGTGACAGTCAAAAATGTGCTGTGGGTGACAGTCTGTGCCCAGTGTGCAGACTGATCTGCAAGCTTTTCCTCCAGCCTCTGTGCCGTTCGAGACCTGACAATGCTTTCAATGCCCTCAAAGAATGCGATTAATTTTTCAGCATTAGATACCCTATAGCATATGACGACTCCCATTTCCAGGTTTCCATTCCTGAGCAGATATCGTCTCTTGGGTATCTCGATAAGACTTTCTGTCATATTAATTATCCTCATTCTCGAATCGATAGGATTGACGAATTTGACACGGCCAGGGTGAATAATTTTTGGTTTAGCCTTGCCATATTCCAACACCAGACCCTGTTGGCCTTCGTTGACATATCTATATGGCCATCGGAAGGCCCAGCAAGGAACTATAATCCGGCCGAGAACGCATGATATCACCCTATTTAGTATTGATTAGCAATTATAGTAGAAAGGCCCACTGTTTATACATACCAGCACATTGTTGTCAGAGGTGTCGACCTTCCCATGTCATCTACCAACCGTTTTGCGTCGTCCACCGACTGTTTCGCGTTATCCACCGACTGTTTCGCATTGTCTACCAACTGTTTCACGTCGACCACCAACTGTTTTGCGTTGTCCACTGACCAATTTGTGTTGTGTACCAACCGTTTTGCAATGTCCACTAACTTTTCTGCATTTTCCATTGATTCTTTTGCGTTGGCTACCGACTGTTTCGCATTATCCACTGGCTGTTTTGCCTTATTCACTAACTGTTCTGTGTCGTATACTAGTAATTTTGTGTTCTTCACTAACTGTTCTGTGTCGTATACTAGTAATTTTGTGTTCTCCACCGACTGTTTCGCATCAACCACTGACTGTTTTGTGTGGTCCAGCGGCTGTTCTGCGTCACCGTCCGTCTGTGTTCCGTGGCCCCCTGACTCTGTCCATCCATCTGGCCGTGCTGCTGACATGTTCTGAGAAAGGAGTACGCCAATAATAGCTTAATACTGGAAATACTGGAGACTTGTGATAAGTTCCGAACTTTGACCTAATATCGAGGTTCACACAGACTGTATCTGTCTTATTTATCATAAGGAGGGTTCCAATTCAACTGGCTTTTGCCCGAGATTAATGTTAGCGGTAATTATTTAATTATGAGCAGATGACCACGTCACCTTCGTTTTCAACATACATAGTCTAGAACCCTCCGCAGATCGTCTTGGGTCGAGACTGATAGCATTCTCCGGTCTACAGACGCCTCAAGTCTAGAGTTTCTCCTTCAATTTGTCTTGGATACAGGCCACCAATGTTAATCTATTTCAATATTCTTTCGGTCATCATTCCCATGGTGTATCCAGCGCATATGAGATCCGTCATGTGAGCTGTTAGATCCAATTGCCGCAAACGGTCATTTTACAGTGGGGCTTAATTTTCCACGTCATCAACCTGAGTGCGTTCTCTACATACAAGCTACGTTGGCCCCAGAATTGTAAATTGTGAGTCTCCAGGTAAAATAATCAGGTATACAGGTTATATAATATTCAATATCACCTCTAACTACGACTTTTAAGCATTCAGAAAGCTATGGCACCGCTTAGTTGTGCACTTGAGAAACCACTCAATCTAACACAGGGAGATAATGTTATGAATAACCTCTTTGGAGGTATTACGCCGTAAGTTTCACATATGCAGCTTTTTATTTCATCGAGTAACCATAGCAGGTTCCTAGCACTACTCGGTCAAGATTTTACAAATACCTACTTGTCACAGTCAATAAGCATCTATGACTGGATAATATTTGCGTCTGTGCCGACGGGGGTGCCATTTGCTGTGAAAACTATCATCAGAGTTTCCAAAGAGAATAAATTTCTGCGAGGACTCGCTGTCTACCCTGAAGAGGAAGAAAAGGTTATTGAGAGGGACCTCTTATCATCTACTTCAGAGGAAGTTTGTGAGGTATGGAATGGCAAGGGGGCGACAAGGAAAATTGCGCCCCTGTCACAACTACCAGTCACAGAGTGGATATTTGATGGCACCCTTATACCCTCAAAAGAATCAAAAAATCACACACTTATTCTGAAAGGTACGCCATGTCTTGTGAATCGTACGATTCCTCAGCTCATACGGCGTAGGGACAAAGGATATTGCTGCACCCCTTTCAGCAACCAAAGAGGGAAATAGTAGGCTCGATGAGTGGGGAGAGATGGCTGAGACTGACCTACCCCCTAATATCATAATGAACCTAGGTTCATATGACAGGCGCAGGAAATTATTCCTGCTGACAGTCACTGGAATCTCTCTTCAGTTGAGCATATTGGTACTTGCTGGACTCACTGCTTTATACTGCCCTGTGAGGAAACAATTCTTTATAAATGCTAAGACTGGTTATCGCGTGACAGCACTTGCATTCTTAATAACCGGGACAGTATTGTTGAGTTTTGGTCTCATATACACCGCAAAAACAGTTGATACATCGGCTCGGGTTGACATTTGGGAACCAAAAAAACCGGGTATGATGGTGATATGGAAACAAACAAAAACTAATAACGAACACCTGTGCACCGAAAGTTACGTCATCGGCAAGGTGATCAAGAAAGAGCTTATATCTACACATAAGCGCTCTCGAACTCGCCCGTCAACCTCAATATCAGGCCCAGTGGCGATCGCTATAATCCTCGGCTTCCTGCTACAAAGTGTGGGTATTTCTTTGGCGCATTGGCCCACGCAGTTACTCCAACTATTGTCGATGAGTATTATGTTTCTCGGTCGATGTTACGTTCGAAGTCAAGTTTCGCCTGAGTTTATTGAGAAGTTAGACGGTGATATATCCGACAGAGAGTTGCTTGAAATTGCTCAAAAATGGCAGCACCAGAATTTTGTTCGAATCATGTAGATTTTTGATTTAGGAAATCCACAACCTTGTGCTTAAGCCAAATTTACTACAATAATAATAATCCTATTTATATAGATGTGATCAACGCTAATCAGGCTCACTGAGAACATAGATCAGAGGGATCAGAGAGCCACTCAAGGCAATCACGTGATTATCACTGAGATGCGCTCCGAGCGCTCAGAGACATGCTCAGATCTACTTCGTGAGCAAAAGCGGCGCCCACTGAGCAGTAAAACGAAAAAGGAAAGTCAAGATCTTGCAACGGAAATTTGGTACATACTAGGTACCTACCTTGGTAGGGTACTAGTAGTTATATATCATCGTACCCACTACCTAGGTAGTAGTAGGTAGCACTCATCGCATCTGGGCATTACCACCACCCACTAAACCAACCTTTTCGCACCTCAGGTTTCTTCTTCAAGTTCCCATTACTATCTCCATTCACAACTTGAACCCCATTCAAGTTCTCCCCCTCAACCTCAACAGGACCAAGTCCACATCGATCACCATTCCCATTCCCAACCTCCACCCCAGGCCCGTCAACCTCCATCTCCATCCCCGAGTCCTCACCACTAACACTCCCCCAACCCCCCTCCAACTCCCCCCCCACCATGACCATGCCCCTCAACATCATCCATCATATCTTCCAAAACCAGCAAATCCCTCTCAATCATCTCCGCCCAATTCTGCACATCCCCAATCTCCTTCAACCCATCACGCGTCTCATCCGCCAGTCCCGCCCACTGCGCATTCTGCCTCGCCAGCCGCGCCGTCGTCTCCGCTAACTCGGTCTCTTGGCGCTGTAGGGCGGCTGCGTTGGAGGTTATTGTTGTTGCGCGGTCGCGGAGGGGCGCTTCCAGGTTTGTGCCGACTGAGTGGAGGGTTGCGGTGAAGGCGGCTAGGGCTTCTTTTTTTTTGGTGGTCGTTTGTTTCGAGGTCTTGTGCGGGGTTTGGGTTGGATACGGTTGTTGTAGTTTGGTGGGTGGGGTCTGCCATTTTGATTTGGTGGATGGGTCGCAGGTGTTGGATCCAAGTTCAGGATACTGTATATTCCAGTGTTTTCTAGGGTTGTTTCAAGTTCGACCTTGGAAATGAGTGACGAGGTAGGCAGTCGGCAGCTTTGTTGAGGGAGTAGAGCTAGTGGGATAGAAAGAGAACTTGAAGAACTTTAAGTGCACGATACATATACTGTTCAAGGTGATTTCAAGTCTTGCAAGGATTCGGGCTTGTGACATTGACAGTGATAAACTTGAACCTTGATAACTTGAAATCTACGCAGATCTTCAACCCCACTTGGCGTGGCGCGCTGTCAGCCTGTCGTCTGATCGACCTGCATTCGGTTCAGTTCAGTTCAGTAAGTGCAGGGTGTCAGTGCGAGTGCGGAGTTCCGAATCCGAGTTTGAGGGGTAAGCAGGTGTGATACAATGGTAGTCACTACTAATTAGTACCTAGGTACGCAGTAATAGTACTACTAGTAGCAGCTCTGGAGGTACGCAGTAATACTGTTACTAGTAGTATGTCCAGATATACGAAGATGCACAGATGCTGAACAGAACCTCAATATAACTTGAAGTACCACCAGAGTCATATATACTCTGGGCATTAACTATAATTCGAATATGACATGACAACCTATGATAAACAATATAAAGCAGATTTTATGGACCAGATCGACATATCCAAGAAAAAATAAGAAACAAAGAAAGATAAAAAAGGTGAAAACTGCAGCCGCAACATGGAACCCCATAACGAAAGAAAAAAAGGAAAAAAACCCCCGCTTAGAAAATTTTCTCATCCATGCAAGTTCGCTCGAAAAATGGGAGGGGAAAGGGAAAAAGTTGGAAGGACGAACACATAAAAACACGGGGAAAACAAAGAACAAAAATCCGGACATTAATAACACATACTCATGTCTCGACACGAGTTGGAAAAAGCGCAGACCGGAAGTAAAAATCAAAACAAAAAATCAAAGATCAAAGAAGACCCGAAAGAACAGCCTCGGTAGCCGAATTAATATAAGGCCTCTTGAGATCAAGGTTAACACCAAATCGTCTCTCAAGCTCCAGCTTAATACTCTTCTTCGTAACAGCCATAAGATCCGCCGTACGCAAAATCTCCTTAATCTCCGCAAGAATAGCGTCGTCGGAAGGTAGGTGGCTCATATCTTCCATACTCAGGTCTCCATGAGCCATACCCATGCCCGCACCCATGCCCGCACCCATGCCCAGGCCCATCTCGGACGGAGTGACCGAAAGACGCGAACTCGAGTTCATCAACGGTAGATCCATTTGAGACATCGGCCTAGAACCGGGGAATCCGTACTCGGACTGTGGGAAGGCGTGGGATCGTGTTCCGTACGAGTAACCCGAGACTTCGGAGCGATCGTCGCGGGAAGTTTGAGCTTCCCATAATTCCATCTGGTATTCTTCCCAGCGTTTCTTTGGGATGGAAGCGGGGTCGAATTTGCCTTCGTCGGAGATGACGACTTTGCGACCCTTTTCTCCTGTGATGACGCGGGTGTTTCCCCAGGAGAAATCGTCCATGTGCCAGAATGAGTAGAGCGGTAGAGCGAGGGTGAAGACTGGGATGGCGAGGATGTAGATGAACATCCAGCCGATCATTTCCCACTTGCGTCGGACGATGAAGATGAAAGCTTGGAGACCGTAGATGACACCGAGTAAGATGAAGGCTGTCCAGGGGATTACTGAGCTGTCTTGGACTAGCCAGACGATGAGGTAAATGATATAGGCGACTGTGACGGGTTGGATGATGGTACTGAGGAGATCGACGAAGACGATGAAACGCATGCTGAAGCAGCAGAATCCGCACAGCTGTTGGAGTGGGACTAGCTCGACCAGATTGTGGACGGTGGAGTTGATCCAGCGACGACGTTGCGAAAGGAAGACGGCAAAACTCTCGGGGGCGACGGTCCAGGCGTGAGAGCGGAAGATGTACTTCGTCTTGAACTTGGGGTGGTGCTTGAGCAGTAGCGTGGTCAGGTATCGATCTTCACCCAGGTGGAGCAGGTTCTTCATGTGCAGGGTATCGACGCGGATCTCGGAATAGGAGTCGACGACTTCCTTGCTCACGAAAAGCGGTTTGCCGGTCTCTGAAGAGCGGATTCGGAACATGGTGAAACAACCGGGTAAACAAGTGACGGACCCGAATAGACTCTCGAACGCCTTGATCAAGTTGTGGGAAATATAGTACTCGTAAACCTGGATCATCGTGACCATGGATGTTTTCGCGTTGGACAGGGCTGTCTCTCCACAGACACCGATGAGGCGTGTATCAGAGAGGAATGCTGAAACGAACCGAGTGGCGGAATCCGGTGCAACCATTGTATCGGCATCGACTTGCAGAATATATTCGTAGAAAGTCGGGTTGACACCGATGATATTGCGAATTTGATGGTGCATCTCCAGCTCCATAGGGCTCATGGGCAGATTGTAGTGAATGCGGTTGAGGAAACGCATGAGAATCATCTGAGAGTCACGCTTACCACGGTTACCCGGGCGAGACACTTCAGAAGGCTTGCCGACCTTGACAACAACCAAGAAGGGCACGATATGACCTTGGACCTCGTAGAGACCAGAGTAGATCTTACCCATATTGTGCTGTTTCATACCTTCACCCAGACTCTCGAAGCTGAGGGGCTCGGGATCCACAGATTCAGGAACGCCCAAAATGTCCAAAACGATGCGTGGTGTCGGGCGATCATTACCTTGACCAATAATCATACCGTCACAAATAACAAGGAGAAGTTTACGCTTGTCATCGTAGCGCATGCGCGCCATAGAGTCCATGGCACGACGAAGTGAGTCCTCATCTTCGGTATACACCGGCACCTGGCAAATGATGAATTTGTCGAGATTCTCGGGCAAATTCTTCTTTCCGAATTGCAGGGCTGCCAAGAACTTGAAGACCAAAACAGTACAGATCAAGATGGAGATGGCAAGGATGAAGTAGCGAGCGAACTGACACTTGACCGAGTTACGGGTGTCGACATGGCCAACAAAGAACAAATTGTCAAGGCACAGTTCCATGCGGGAGCGCAAAGTGTCGTCAAGATCAAGATCATTCCAGTATTTGGTCACATCGTAGCCGGACTTTTGCTGGAAGAGAGTGACGAGCAGAGGGCTCATATAGTCGGTCTTGACACTGCTGGTGGAACGATTCTTGCCTTCTGGGAAACGCGGATTGCGAGGTCCTGCAATATAATACGACATGTCGTATACTTTCCCGTTGATGCTCACAATGTTCTTGTTCTCGTCGTCCGCGAGCGTCTTCATATACTTGGCGGTATAGCCCACGTAGCCCTTTTTGTAATTGGCTCGCATCATGACCATCTGCTCATAGAACCAATCGGCTTGGTAGAGATCGGTCCAATAACGGAAGTCATGGTACTTGGCGTTGATATCGAAGGAGGTTGAGGAAATCGTGCTGGCCGAGTCATTCAAGTTCGATCTATAGTCAAGCGGCACGCTGGGGTCGATGGTTCCGTCCACACCCTGGCACAATGCAGAGACCTGGACGGGGAAGAGGTTGGTGGCATCGGTACCGGCGTAGTTCTTGAGTGACTTTTGAGGGACAATATCGGGATAGTGAGAAGGCATGAAGTCTCCCAAGTTGAAAACAACACCTCGGACGGAAACGTATGAGGCTGCCCCATCTTTGCCGTTCTGGTTGCTGAGTTCTCCCTTGGAATAGACATGTTGAGTTGGACAAATCAAGCCGGGGAAAGCGACAATCATGAAGATAGCAACACCACAGGCAAACCAGATAATCAAGTTGATCGCAAGCTTCTCTCGCCAAGCGATGCGGATATCCTTTCGCTTCATGCGACCGATATACCGGATTAATACGTCGGGAACCATCCACGTTAACAGCCAAACCAGTGCCATCCAACGGCGGCGGGATGCTGAAACAGGAATATCCTCCACCTCTTCCATGTTCTTTTCTTGACCCTTCTCAAGCATCTGCTGCTTCGTGTCGAGGTCACGGAACATGTCACCAGAGTTGAAAGCGGAGCCCCCAGCATCAGAACGGCCATCCAATTCGCGGCTGCCGAAATATCCCTGCTTCGTTTCGTCACCATAGATGAAAGCACCCGGGGACGCATCAGCCGGATTGAGGAGGCGAACTTTAGCATCCGGGTTGCCAGCAGAGTTGATAGCGTCGTCATCAGCGCCGCCAATGGCGTTGAAGGTTGGAACGACACGTTCTCCGACTTTGGCGAGATCCGCCCAGCAACGCTCACTCAGGAAGACACCAGTGCTACCAACGCGAGCCTCGTTTCCGGGCCAGCGTCTCTCATCCAAGACGACTTCCGACTTTTCCTTATCGCTGCCGACGACGACATTGCCGATCTCAGCCAGACCAAGGAACTCCGCAAAGGGGAGAAAGACACTGAAGTCTGCATTCCGGAGCCGCTGGCTAATCTCGGCGATGCCAAATGTTTGAACCTGCATGCGAACACACTTGCTGTCAAACTGATTGGCGATTCGTCGATCGTTGGGCTTGAGGCAGATCACGAAGTAGGGGTTCAGGTTCGGCTGGCTCAGGCACTTGTTGATGATTTCAAGACCAGAAAGGAATTGACCAGCCGAGCCCTGGGAGGGACCCATCAAGCCACTCTTCCGACCTGCCATGCTGCGGCGGGAGCTTCCCACTTGGCTATCCACTTCTTCAATGTTATGCTCGCTGTCGGCTCGGGACATGGCCATTGAGGTGAGTCGAGATTGGGCGTCATGCTTGCGTCGAGCCATGCTCGGCATACGCATTGGCTTGGAAGAGACCTGGGCCTGCATGATAGCAGTCTTCTCCTTCGGGTGGGTGATGGTTTCGACAGCCTCTTGATCAAAAAGCTCACGGACCAGGTCGCTGCGGGTAGACTTCATGAGATTCATCAGATCGCCCGAGATGACTTCTCCATTCTCCTCGAGGAGACCTGCCACAGAGTAGTCAACCTCGCCGGCGAAATGCTTCACAGTGAATGCGGTGCGGGGACCCTGGGTGATGTAGCCACTGCTAGAGCTCGAGTCGCCCACCGAGATAGCCGGGTTCTTGCCTTCAAAGCGCTTTCGAACGCTGTCCAGGAACTGGGCATCGGAACGTCCACGCTTGGTCTGGTCGTCCAGGATGCTCAGCAATCCATTGCCGTGCTTCAAGAGACCGCGAACGGTGTCGGTGTTGTCGAAATAGCTGGTAGCCGGAACAGTGATTTCCTCGCGGT